TGACATTATTATAGCACCTTTCCCGTCGGGAGGACGTCCTAAGGCACTGGTGGGGGAGGGCGGGGGGGAGGGCGAGGAGGGAGATCGAAGTACGGTTGAAGAGGAGGGTCTTGAGATGGGTCTTGAAGGTGGAGAGGGAGGGGACGAGGTGGAGGGACTGCGGGATTCAGAGGGTGGGGGCAGAGTGGCAGAAGGCCCATAGTGGGAGAGCAAAACGGGGGACGTGAAGCGCCGGAGCTGCAAAATGGTGTCTGTTGAACTCTGCAGCTCAGAGAGAGGAGAGAGAGGGGGGGGGGGGAGGGGGGGGAGAAGGGGGAGAGGGGGAGAGGGGGAGGGGGAGAGGGGGGGAGAGGGGGAGGGGAGAGGGGGGGGGAGAGGGGGAGTGGGGGGGGGGAGAGGGGGAGGGGAGAGGGGGGAGAGGGAGAGAGAGGGGGGGGGAGAGGGGGAGTGGGGGGGAGGGGGAGAGAGGGGGGGAGGGGGGGAGAGGGGGGAGAGGGGGAGGGGGGGAGGGGAGAGGGGGGGGAGAGGGGGGGAGAGGGGAGTGGGGGAGGGGGAGGGGGGAGAGGGGGGAGAGGGGAGTGGGGGGAGAGGGGGAGGGGGGAGGGAGAGGGGGAGGGAGGGGGTAGAGGGAGAGGGGATAGAGGGGGAGAGAGAGTGAGGAGGGGGGAGGGAGAGGGGGGAGAGGGAGGGGGGAGGGGGAGGGAGGGGGGGAGGGGGGGAGCAAAGATGGCGGCGCTGCCGCTGTTGCCATGGCGCCCCCCCCTCTGATCTTTGCTGTTTATTGGGCGGCGATAACTGTCAGTCACAGAGATCGTGACGTCACATCCGCTGGAGCGGCGCCGGGGGCGGGGCCGAGCCGCCGCCCCGCCCCCGGGGACAGACACAGCGCTGACATGGCGTCCCGGTGCGGCGGGAACACCGCGAGCGGCGCCGAGCGGAACCCGCGGGACCTCCGGCGTTTGGGGACATTGGTGAGGAATCATTTTTTTGGTGTCAATACCACAGTCACAGCGACTCCGGGAGTCTCCTCTCCTCTCCTCTCCCCCCGTCTGTCTCTCTCTCTCCCGTCTCTCTCTCTCTCCCGTCTCTCTCTCTCCCCTGTCTCTCTCTCTCCCGTCTCTCTCTCCCCCTGTTTTTCTCTCTCCCCCTGTCTCTCTCTCTCTCCCCCTGTCTCTCTCTCTCTCCCCTGTCTCTCTCTCTCCCGTCTCTCTCTCTCCCCTGTCTCTCTCTCTCTCCCCCTGTCTCTCTCTCTCTCTCTCCCCTGTCTCTCTCTCTCTCTCCCCTGTCTCTCTCTCTCTCCCCCTGTCTCTCTCTCTCTCCCCCTGTCTCTCTCTCTCTCCCCTGTCTCTCTCTCTCTCCCGTCTCTCTCTCTCCCCCTGTCTCTCTCTCTCCCCCTGTCTCTCTCTCTCCCCCTGTCTCTCTCTCTCTCCCCTGTCTCTCTCTCTCTCCCGTCTCTCTCTCTCCCCCTGTTTCTCTCTCTCCCCCTGTCTCTCTCTCTCCCCCTGTCTCTCTCTCTCTCCCCTGTCTCTCTCTCTCTCCCCGTCTCTCTCTCTCTCCCCCTGTCTCTCTCTCTCTCTCCCCCGTCTCTCTCTCTCCCCTGTCTCTCTCTCTCTCCCCTGTCTCTCTCTCTCTCCCCCTGTTTCTCTCTCTCCCCTGTCTCTCTCTCCTCCCCCGTCTCTCTCTCTCTCCCCTCCGTCTCTCTCTCTCTCTGTCTCTCTCTCTCTCCCGTCTCTCTCTCTCCCCCTGTCTCTCTCTCTCTCCCCTGTCTCTCTCTCTCTCTCTCCCCTGTCTCTCTCTCTCTCTCCCGTCTCTCTCTCTCTCCCCCTGTCTCTCTCTCTCTCCCGTCTCTCTCTCTCCCCCTGTCTCTCTCTCTCTCTCCTGTCTCTCTCTCCCCACTGTCTCTCTCTCTCTCCCCTGTCTCTCTCTCTCTCCCCCTGTTTCTCTCTCTCCCCTGTCTCTCTCTCTCTCCCCCCGTCTCTCTCTCTCTCCTGTCTCTCTCTCTCCCCCCTGTCTCTCTCTCTCTCCCCCTGTCTCTCTCTCTCTCCCCTGTCTCTCTCCCCTGGTCTCTCTCTCTCCCCTGGTCTCTCTCTCTCCCCTGGTCTCTCTCCCCCCTGGTCTCTCTCTCCCCCCTGGTCTCTCTCTCTCCCCTGTTCTCTCTCTCTCCCCTGGTCTCTCTCTCCCCCCTGGTCTCTCTCTCCCCTGTCTCTCTCTCTCTCCCCCCTGGTCTCTCTCTCTCTCCTGTCTCTCTCTCTCCCCCCCTGTCTCTCTCTCTCTCCCCCTGTCTCTCTCTCTCTCCCCTGTCTCTCTCCCGTCTCTCTCTCTCCCCTGTCTCTCTCTCTCTCCCCCCGTCTCTCTCTCCTGTCTCTCTCTCTCTCTGCGCTACTTTGCACAGTGGATACATTGTAGCGGAGAGAGGGCGTCAGCCTTGAGGGGTCGGAGTCGGTGACATTGTTGCAATAAAATGGACACAAATGGCAACTGGTGTCAATTTGGCAACAATTTGCACCGGGAGACAGCGCGGGAGGGGTTAATAATAATATAATAACAATAATAATAATCCTCGCGTTTGATATAGCGCTTTTCACGTCTTCTCGACATCTCAAAGCGCTTCACAGAATAGACTGTAAAGTGAATCGACTGTATATTTGTGGGCGAAACGGTGGGGGGGGGGGGGGGGCAGAGGCAGAAATTAAAGTGCGTTTGTAGCCAAACTCTGGCCCAAACATAGCCCCCAAATTATTATGCGTTGCCTCCCTGAATGGGGTAAGTAGCAGAGCAGCCGATTTGGGGGGTTTCAGTGCTTCTATAAAACTGAAAGAGAAAGGTCTTCAAAGGAGAGAGAGACAGAGAGCGGAAAAAAACAGCGACCGCTTTAAATTAAAATTAAAAAAAAGTCAAATCCTGTGAAGCGCCTTAACATGACCCCCGACGTGAAAGGTGCCATATCAACCGCAAGAATTGTTATTGTTTTTATTGTTTTATACATATAGTCATAGCTGATGGTCATTGTACATACACGAGGACATATACCTACATACACACACAGGTATACATGTACCTACCTACCTATGTATATGCAAGCATACATACATATGCACATACATAATTACATGCGTAGGTAATTATGCGGTTGTATTTTTGTGCAGAAGGTTTTGTATCTTGTAGTTGAAGCTTTGTGGAGTCCTGTAGCTCAGTGGTTAGAGCACTCGCTTTGCAAGTGAGAGACCTGAGTTCAATTCCAGGCAGAGGGCGAAACCTTGGGCAAGTTTCCTTACTCCACACAGAGCCTAATAATAATCCCTCCAAAACCAAAAAAAAAACAATAATAAATTGGTCATTTTCAATCTACGACTGTTTGTGGGACATTGCTGTGCGCAATTGGCTGCCGCGTTCGCCCACAAATATACAGTCAATTCACTTTACAGTCTATTCTGTGAAGCGCTTTGGGACGTCCTCCCGACGTGAAAAGCGCTATATCAAATGCAAGGATTATTATTATTATTATTAAGCTGCGCTGTGGCTGTGAATGTGAGTACGAATATCAATTAATTATACGTCTGCATCAGAAATGGCCGGGTGGCTTCCCTCAGGGATTCTTATGTAATGTGTGTGGGCTCTGATGAGAGATGACGGCTGACACAACGTCCCCTTTCCCTTGACGTCCCTGCATTAGAAAGACAGAATCATTGGAGATATTAAATATTGATAGCTTTACAGTGTGTAGCTCTGGTACTCTGTTCACACCGAGAAAACAATGTCTTGTTAGCTTTTACTGCTCTTATTTTTTAATTCCATTGTTTCATTTTTGGGGGGCGGGGAGGGGAGGGGGTGTCCAGCCAGGATCTGACATGTGGAAACCCATCACCTGTTAAAGAGTATCCAAACCAGACTGAGAGTCTGTGCGCAATTGGCTGCTGCGTTTCGCCCACAAAACACACAGTCCATTCACTTTACAATATATTGTGTGAAGCGCTTTGAGACTTCTCAAAAACGTGATAAGGCACTACATCAACTGGAACGATTATTATTATAACAAGGAACCAGGACTTGCTGAACAGCTTCATTGATTGGGAAGGAAGTGTTAAATCAGACAGAGCTATTTTGGCATTATATATGTGCATCCGAATGTGGAAATAATCCCTCCATCCTGGACTTAAATCCTGGTACTCTGTAGGGATGCTGCAGTGGATAAAAAAAAACTTTTATGTTGCACACGTATACTGTGCAGCAAAACAAATAATAACAAACCTTGCATTTGGTATGGCACCTTTTATAACGGGAGGACATCCCAAAGTGCTTCACAGGATTTGCTGTAACGTGCAGTGACTGTGTTTTGTGGGCGATCGGTATAAAAGGGAGAATAACTAACCAGTGTGGTTTGTTTCAACATCAACTTAATTGTTGCCTCAATATGTCTCTGATAGGGTGTTTTATCTTTATATTATATTTTATATTTAGATTTTTTTTATCATATATATAATATTTAGATATTTTGAAAGAGCTGAATGCTGAAAGTCATTTATAGACTTACTAGACATGTGACGGTGGCTCAGTGGTAGCGCTCTCACCGTCAGATAGCTGATGAGGAAACTCTGAGGCTACGGGCGACAGATGCTGGAAGGCATTACCTGGAGTCAGAGTTCATGGGCACATGTTTGTACATGAACACACCTTGACTGGTCTGCAGAGACAAGCAGTTGCTGCTTAAACTCCGCACGTCCAACTGGTGGAACAATCGCTCAACAGAAAGGGATGTGCCCGAGTTACGGATAGGAAGACGGTGGCAATGCTCTCACGCATTTCATGCTGAGAATGCTTCGCCCACCGGGATATATTCCAATCAGCCACCGAGTGAGGGCTCAAACCTGTTCTTGTTGGATGTCAAATGACCAACTAGTGACTAACCTCTTGGGAAGTGGGGGAGCAGTAAGTTTAAGGACCCAGGTTCGATTCACTTTACAGTATAATTCTGTGAAGCGCTTTTGAGTCGTCTCAATGACGTGATAAGGCGCTAGCATTAGTTATCATTATTAAGACTTTAATGATTTGCCATGAAATAGTGGATCTTAGATGTTTCTCTGTGTGAAGGAAGCTGCCCGTTTATGAAGTGAGACCCTCTCCTCCCTATTTCCTGTCTATTTGCCTTCTGGCAAAGTGGAGGGTACAACAGGAACCTCAAATGAACAGTCTTTATCTTTAAGCATCCTATCCCCTTCTGAATGGTGAGTTAGCCTCTCAGTTTGTGTAAGTTTTGAATATGGTAGAGATGCCAAGCTGCGGCTTTGTATATGCATAACCCCACCAGGATCTTCTGATTTGATATGTTGTTTCTTGTTTGTGGATCGTTTCAACATTTACAGGGCTGACGCAGATCTGAGGATCAGACTTGTTGAACTAGTTAGCCGACGATAAGTCTCCAGGGAAATAGATAGAACACGTATGGAACATTTTGAGAATGTGAGGCATGTTGGTGACAATTTTATTTCCATTACAAATTGATTTCAGCATGATATCGGAGCCAGTATGGTGCCCAGTATAAATATCAACTAAGATATTAATAATGATAATCCTTGCATTTGATATAGCACCCTTTCAGGTTGTTGAGAAGTCTCAAAGCGCTTCACAGAATATACAGTAAAGTGAATTGACCGTATTTTGTGGGCGAAATGCGGCAGCCAATTGCGCACAACAGTGTCCCACGAAGATCCCATCAACGCAGGGATTAACTGGCCCTGGTTTATGTTTCTTGAACTGAAAATGTTTCCGTTTTGCAAACAGATTAGTCGCTTCCCCCCTCCCCCCATCTAACTTGGAATGTGGAACACAGTTCCTATTTTAAGTTGGTCTTTTAATCAAACTTTTTCCTAGAATAGGCAAACAGTGGTTGCTGATTTTGTCTGATTGCCATTCCCCTCCCCCCAAAAATCATCTGTGGTGCCTTAATCTGTTTTACAAGGAGTTTGAGCACTGTGCTGATGTACACTGATGTCACCCATGATATAGAAGTGGATTAGTCATGAAGAGGAATTCAGTTACTATTCAAGTTGCTTCAATATTGTTCCAATACTAGTTCAGTAAAATTCATTCAAGTCGCATCATTCGGGACCTTAACATTTATAATAATAATAATCCCTGCATTTGATATAGCGCTTCACAGAATATTCTGTAAAGTGAATTGAATGTATATTTGTGGGTGAAACGTGGCAGCTAATCGCACACAGCAGTGCCCCACAAACAATCGTGGATTGAGTGACCACATTTTGATGTGAGTTCCAAGCAAACTGGCACAAGTAGTATCATATACGATTCATGAAAAGTTACATACAAGTCGTATTTTATACGATTAACACATAACAAGTACTCCACCTCGTTGTCAATGGAGTACACTGTACCGCACTTGCAGTACTTCATCAATGTAGCCAATAAGTGCACATCTGGCGACTGGTCAAGCTTTCGTTTCTTGCGCTTGATTCAACATTGCATATATATACTTCAATGCAACTGGTAAAAAAAAATTAGGAAGGCAAAGAGGAATTATGGAACTAAATTATCAAGAAATATAAAAAGAAATAGTAAAATATTCTACAGACACATAAATAACGAAAGAAAAATCAAAATAGGAATAGGGCCACTAAGGGATGGACAAGATAAGCTCACAGCAAAATGGCAGAAATATTAAATAATTACTCTGCCTCAGAATTCACCAGGGAGACCGATCAGGTGGACATGACAGTAGACGAAGAGAACAAAAATAATATAATAATAATATAAATACATTTAAGATACAAAGGAGAGATAATCGAAAAACTAATGAAACTCAGAGAGGATTAAACCTCTGGTCCAGAGGACTGTCTCTGCGTATATTAAAAGAATCGAGGGAAAAGATAGCAAAGGCACTATTACACATATTATAATCATTTCTCATTAGAAAAGGGAGTAGTGCCAGAGGACTGGAGAATAGCTAATGTTATACCTATATTTAAAAAGGGAGATAGAACAGGGAACTATAGACCCGTTAGCTTAACTATAGACCTGTCAGGTGGTAGGAAAGGTAATGGAATCCTTACTGAAGGAAGTAATAAAAAAAATCTAGAAATGAAAACATAATAAAGAATAGTCAGCACGGATTTCAAAAAGGAAGGTCATGCTTGACCAACCTCACAGAGAGAGTAGACAAGGGGAATGCGGTAAATGTAATATATTTAGATTTCCAAAAGGCGTTTGATAAGGTACCACATAATAGACTAATGAATAAGGTCGGAGCACGTGGAGTCGGGGAAAAATAGCAGAAGGAATAGCAACCTGCTACAAAACAGAAAACAGAGAGTAGGGGTAAAGGGGAGCTACTCAGACTGGCAGGGGGTGGGCAGTGGTGTTCCACAAGGATCGGTATTGGGACCACTGTTGTTCACAATATACATTAATGATTTGGACTCAGGAATCAGCAGTACAATTTCAAAATTTGCAGACGACACCAAATTGGGTGGAGTAGTTAATACAGAGGAGGAAGGCAACAAATGACAGCAAGACATTAATAAACTTGCTGAATGGGCACTTAAATGGCAATTGCATTTCAATGTAGAAAAGTACAGAAGGAATAAGAAAGTCACATACATCCTGGAAAATAAAAACCTAAATGGGGTAGAGGAGCAAAGGGATCTCGGGGCACACATACACAATTCACTAAAAGTAGCAATGCGGGTTAATAAGGCCATAAAAGGCAAACCAGGCATTGGGGTTCATTTCTAAGAGGGATAGAAATGAAAAGCAGGAAAGTTATGGTGAACTTCTATAGAACCTCAGTTAGACCACACCTAGAATACTGTGTGCAGTTCTGGTTCCCATGTTATAGAAGGGATGTAGAGGCACTGGAGAGGGTGCAATGGAGATTCATAAGGATGATCCCAGATCTGAGAGGTTATACCTATCAGGAAAGGCTGAACATGTTTGGGCTTTTGTCTTGAAAAGAGGAGGGTGAGGGGTGACCTGAGAGAGATCTTTAAAATTATGAAAGGTTTTGATGGGGTAGACATCAGGAAGATGTTTCCACTTGTAGCGGAGACCAAAACCAGGGCCATCAATACAAAATAGTCACAAATAGATCAAACAGGGAAGTTAGAAGCCATTTCTTTACACAGAGAGTAGTGGGAATGTGGAACACGCTACCACAAGGAGTTGTTGAGGCAAATAGCATAGATGTATTTAAGGGGAAGCTGGATAGGTACATGAGGGAGAAAGGAATAGGTTTTGCTTGAAGGCTTAGTTGAGGAAGGGCAGGAGGAGCCTCCTGTGGAGCATAAACACCGGCATAGACCAGTTGGGCCGAATGGCCTGTTTCTGTGCTGTATATTCTAATGTATTCTAATGTAAGTGCACAAGCAACATTAAGAATTAGGAGATAGTTATTTGGGACCAAGAAACTGTTACGATTTAGCCAGTTTTATCTAAGTAACCTTGAATTATACAGTGCTTGGATCCCAATACAATTTACATTTTTGGAGCGCCATACATATTGGGAGGACATCTTAATGCGCTTAACACATTTTAGGATTAATCAAAATGATGAAAGTGTGCACAGAAGAGGGTGAAACCAAATGGAGATTGGATATTCCCTGTACTGCGAGTACAGTGGGCAAGTTCTGTTGGAAAAGGTCTATGTCGGTGTTTATGCTTCACATGAGCCTCCTCCTGCCCTTCCTCAACTAAGGTCATTTGTTGGAAAAGGTCTCCAAGTATTAATCAGTCTCAAAATGTGAAGAAATGATAAATAAGTGAGAAAATAAAATACAGAAGTATTTCTACATTCTTGATTCATAATAGTCTTCCTTTGTAATTGCATGAAGGGAAATTAGACTGAGAAGTGTGTGTGTGCCGTGATAAAGTAAAGACCTTTAAAGAAAATGTGACACTGAACACACGAGATGGAAAAGTGCAACAGTAAATGCCTAAAGTTTTAGAGCTGTGTATCAGGTTATAGACAATCTTGTATGCTCAATTTCTGGATTAACACTTCAAAATAGACTATGTGGTTCCTTTTAGTGATTGCCCTGTATTTGTTTATCTCTAGAAGAAACTTGTAGACTGTAGTTAGAACAGCGCTCTGCAGTCTGAGACACTGTAGTTACCGTCCGAGTTGCCCTTCAGCCAACACATATTTTTAGACATCTGCGTTCTGCACCATTGAGCAAAATGTTTATGAATTATTTGGGATTTGTAATTTAAAATCCATGATTTATATCTTCAACATTGGCAGAGTGACAGTGAAACATGCTCATACATTACCCACAGTACTCATTCTCAGTAATGTTCAAAGGAACTAATGACTTGGATTGCATTTCTCCCTCTCTCCACACACAAGTTTCTTGAAAACAGTAGTGCTAATACAACAATGTCATGATTTTACATATTTCAGTTGTGAGGAATGATTCCCATTCGGTTACTGTTAAAATGCAAATGTGCAGAATTGACGAGAAAAGCAGCTGCTGTTGTTTAAAATCTTTGTGGTGCTGACTTGGTGAGGCTTGTCTCTGTGTGGAAGATGAGATTGTCTTGTTCAAGGGTTCGAATCCCACTTTTGCAGTTGCTTGATTCAGATGCAAACAATTGTACAAATTTGCTTTTGCGCCAGAAAAATAGAGCCACAAAGCTGCCGGATTGTTGTTCAGTTATGTACAGTAACGGGCACAAATGGCACAAAGTGAAACAGTAACGCCTGTCTGCACCTTAGTCTCTAGCTTAGCCTCCAGAGGGAAATAACACTCAGATCAAACTGAAATAGATTCACTTGTTTCTGTTGCTATATAATCAGAACTAGAATTGAAATCTTCAGTAAGGCTGTTTTAAAAAAAAGAAAGTGCTCTGCACAATCCTGTTCCATGAATGGAATATGAGAATACAAACCATTTCAGCATTTTGTGGGGATTTACACACAAAGTAATTTATTTAACATGTTAAATTAATGTTTCTTCAAAATGCAACTGATTGTTTGCCCGGCATGAATCGTGGCACTGGTGAGTGGGCAGATAATGTAGGGAGTGGGGGCAGCGACTGCCATCCCAGTGACCTTTAAGTGTATTTATATATGGTGCCTCATACCTCCAGCTCCTGATCCTCTTCCTTGTCCTCTCTCACTGCCTTGTGCCTTCTACAACCTCGTGAGATGGAGCAGGAGGTATGAGGCAGCGTGGAGAGCAATGGGAATTTTTTTTTTTTTTGGTCGGCCGGGTGGAGAGCGACGGGAAGATGGCTCCGTTAATGACCCATCGCACCCTCCCTGGTTGCAAAACCTGGCTCCACCCCACCACTCCTGCCTCTGTGGATTCCAGGCTGATCCTCCAGTGCAATGTTGGTTATTCATTTCACACAGTAGCCCGCTACTGGAACATTGCTGTCCACAAACCAGACCGACAGGTTTATCTATAAACAGTCACTACATTTGATTGCAACTCCCTGCAACTTTGATGTTATAGGACCTATATCAAATGCAAGGATGTTGATTTAAAATTTTTAATGATTTTTGTTTGTGGTTTCCTATTGCTATTGACAAGTCAAAATGTTAGTGTTGTACTGCAATTGGAATATCAACGAGGAGGCTAATCTAACTGCTAAGGGATATGTAAAGAGGTGATTTCCCACGTTGGTTGACCACATTTTGTAAACTTAAGAGAAAGAATTTCCCTTTCCCGAGCAGTTTTAACTTCTCATTTTGTCACACCATTTTCCAGGGGAAACTTACAAACAAATCAGTAAAAACTGATGGTTTGCTTATTGATATTCAAATTGTTATTCTTGTAAACTTATGATAATCAACTGTGGCTTGTCTATATATATATATATATATATATATATAGCCACTCTGGATAACTCGTCACTGAGCCCTTTTCCCGTGGAGTGATGAGTTATCAGTTTACTGTATATAATTGGTGTAACAGAACCAATCATTCCCACTGGTTGGTGAGTCAGTGACTAGAGGGCATCAATTTGATAATTAGCAAGTGAAGGGGGAGATTACAAGGAATTATTTTAGTTAGGAATACCCTGCTGGATACAGTCGTTGATGCTGAATCAAAAGGTAGCTAGACAGACATCTTAAGAAATATGGGAAAAAGTAAGTAAATGGGGTTTCCTGTTGCTGTTGAGAGTCACAATTTCAGTGTTGTGATGGGCTGAATGCCTTCTTCTATACTGTGATGTTCTATAGTAAGCCAAATAACCAAAGAGGGTAATTTTACTAGAGAAGTGCTTGTGGGTTTTTTTCAGAAACTGTATGTCGTCAATCATTTTGTGGAGCATTTCCCTAGAAAATTCCTTTTACGTTGAACAAATTAGCATTAGGAAATTTGATAAACTTCCCAGTGACTCGCATGCTAAAAGCCAGTCCTCAGATGAGACTAAACCATAGAACCAGAAGGTCTTGCGTTCAACTCCTGGTTTGTGCTGTGTTTATGAATCTGTTGAAGAAGCAGTAGAAACTCTACAATTTCTCTCAGCATTGGAAGGGATGAATACCTGACCAGGGTTTCGTTCTCAATTATTCTGAACACTATCCAGTTATCCCTGCTGGAAAGGGCATCGACAAGATTGAGCTCAGCTGCAGTGCCCCCAAGGACAGATATTTCTGCCAGAGTTTGGATATTTGAGCAAAGTGGCTCACCCTGTAGCACTCTTGACTTGTACTGGAGAGCAGCAGTACCGGTGTGGAATTATACCCTGGTAAGAGTAAGAACCTTCAGGAGGCACTATGGTTTGATAAGTTTGCCAAGAATGAAGAATTAGCACAGTACTGTGTTGTACTCACCAAAAATTAGACTTCCATTTGATATAGCACCTTACCACTTCTCAAAGCTTCACAGAATATATTGTATCAAAGAGGAGCTAGATAGACATCTTAAAAAGTATGGGGAGAAAGCAAGTAAATGGGACTGAATGGGGTTTCCTAATGGTGTGGACAGAGTCAACATTTCAGTGTTGTGATGGGCTGAATGCCTTCTTCCATGCTGTGATGTTCTATAGTAAGTCAGATAACCAAAGGGGGTAATTTTACGAGAGCGGTGCTTGTATATTTGAATTGTATATTTGAATGGACTCTATAATTTGTGTGTGAAATGCTCATTTACATTTGTTTTACGGAACAGGCAAATTGATTGCTCATTTTGATTATCTTTCAGATTATTTTGGAAGCAACACTGCCAGAGCAAGATTTCTGAGCTACAACATCTTTTCATCACCTGAAACGAGGCTTGCACTGGACTTCTGCCATGTCTATGGACCACAGCCCGACCACAGGAGTGGTCACAGTGATCGTCATTCTGATCGCCATAGCAGCTCTGAGTGCCTTGATCCTGGGCTGCTGGTGTTACCTCCGGCTGCAGCGCATTGGTCAATCTGAAGACGAAGAGAGTATTGTGGGAGACGGCGAGACCAAAGAGCCTTTTCTTTTGGTACAGTACTCTGCAAAAGGGCCACGAGTTGAGCGGAAAACTAAACTGACAGCCAATGGCACTGAGGGGCACAGCTAAAAATCCCACCCCAATCTGTGACTGCAAAATGTTACTGTTTGAATAAATTAGGATCTCTCATTCATCATACTGTGAAGATTTAACTCTGTCCAAGCTGCTTAGTTAAAGACAATAGCAAGGTAGCGTGACTGGACACTGACAGATAGATAGCCTGTTAGTCCGCCACTGCATGTGGAGGAAAATCAGGCCCTCCATTCAGCATTTTCTGCAGAGTATCTTACTTGAATTCTAATCCCATTCAACTGAGCCGACATTGATGGAGCAACTACTGTAGATCTCATCCCTACTGAACCTGTGGATCTCTGAAAAATGAGTACAGACCAGAGTGCAATCTCACACCAGTTTTCTGCATGATACAGGAGAGAATGTGGCCAAATGCAAAATGAACTGTTGCCAAGGACACCTGAGAAGAGGCTATGAACACTTCAGTTGAGCCAAAAAAAATTTTGGGTGTGGGGGGAGAAGCAGAGAAACTTTACAAAACTAACTTGATTGAGGTCAAATATCAGAAATGTAATTAAAAGAAGTCAGGACACTACAGGAGTTAACCTTTTGAATTGTTCTGTGTCTTTGGGTGTATCATTCTTACATGTGCACCCTGAACTTTCCTCAAATGGATTTGGGGAAATGGAACAGGTGGACGGGATACAGAGTCTGATTTCTACAGGGTCAGGAACGGAAGCAGAATTGTTATGCATTTTGTTGACTGCTGAGGAGAGGATGTGCTGAAATGATTCGTTATTGCTAGGATGCTACCAAAGCACTTTTTTCTAAACTGATTCCAGTCAGAACCTATGATGGGGAATATTGTAAACACTACAAATGATCCGGAAGGTTTCCAGTGGAGTCAATACGGTGGCTGAGCAGTTTGTTTTATTGGAAGCGTGTATTAAAGGGGGGTGGGAAGGGGAGAAACAGTACTAAATTGTCTCTGCTTAAAAATTATAGATTGTGGTACTCATTATGGCCAGACTTTCCCATTAATTCATTTAGTTTACATAAGTTAAATTGTACCTGCAATGTAACCTGTATCACATTAGTGCAATATCTATGTGTAAACAAATAAAGAATTTCTCCTTTTTCCAAGAATTTTTTTTGTCTGAGAAGATGCTCCAGATTGGAACTTGGACAATAAGAGTTCTTTTAAAAATACTTTTTAAAAAAAAGTCCAAGGGAAGAAACTTCTACAGACATTTCAATAGAAGTTAGGTAAATATCTTCCACTGTATACAAGAACAAAGTTTTGTGTTCCTTTTTTTAAAAAAAAGGTTGGAAGCAGCAATATGGCTCATGTGTCTGTCCGTTTCTCTGTATTTTCATTATCCTCAATCATATTTTGAGTCTCTCTCTCTTTCTGGCTTGTGTTTTCCATAGCTGTTGAGGCTGATCCCGATTCCTCTGACAAAGGCTGGGCTAAAGAAGGAGAACTATCGTCCTTTAAGGTTTCTTCCACTGTTGTCATATAAAGCTTGAGCAAAGTGTTCTCGGTGAGGAGATTCTCAGAGACTGCTGCGATCTCTTTAAGTTTCTCAGCAGTTTCAGCAAGCTCTGTGCTCCTCTGGGTATAGAGGTGCTGGAGTTTCTCATTGTGACGTTTGAGCTCTTTATTTTTCTCTTGTAGCACATGGTTACTGAGCTTCAGGTGGCGCTTCTCCTGTTCTGTGGCAGAGAGCTGGAAAGCGACTTGTTCTTCAGCTAGGCTCAGAGCTTTGATCTCTGCACGCAGTTTCTTAATCTCGCTCTCCAGCTGATCAATTCTGTCCTGCTGTAGTTCTGCTGCTTTTTGGACACAGTCTGGGTTACATGAATGTGTTGGGTCTTCGGGCACTGCTCTGGTGGAATGCAATAGAATGAACCGGACAAGGTTGGGAACAGTTAGTGGCAGATCCTCAGGGTACTTTACACTCAAGTCTTTCCTGAAATGAAAAAGAGAAAAATGACGTAAACTTTTAATGGAAAGATGTTCCATATTCACAGTAAAACTGCCATTTTATCCAGGTTTTGTCAACCATTTTCTCTTATGAGTGTCCCTTGTCACTGTTAAAATCATTTAATTCATCACAATTAAATCTCCAATCCACCACCCGGCGCCTACACTTGACTGGCACTGGCCTCCTGCTCGGCCTTCGCACCCTCCACCCCCACCATCAGAGGTTCTGCTTTCAGCCACTATGCCCCAAAACTCTGAGAAACACTCCCTCAATCCCTCCAACTTGCCCCCTTTCTCCTCTCTTTCAGGTCCCGCCTGAAAACATTCCTCTTTGACTGGGCTTATGGCCACCTTCTCCCGGCTTGGAGTCAGGCTCCGCCACGATTAAGTGCTCTGAGACTCTACCCTGCGTGGAAGGCGCTCTATAAGTGAAAGTTATTGTTGAGTTTATAGTTTTTAAGAAGTTGACTGGGACCTTACGAAACAGCAAAGACCACACAGATAGGCACACTGTTGTTTAACATTTCAGCAGGTATGGAAAGAGAAGGGGCAAGGCGGATTGACAATATATTCCGATTTTAACTTAAGCACAGCATTTCGTTCCAACTAGAAAATCACCAGCTTTAAGCTCTTATATACATCTACTCTCCACCGTGTCAAAATATAGTAGTGAAAATAGTTTCACAGCTGCTTCTCTAAAAGACGTGCTCAAAATGCTGACGATTTAAAAGAAAAACACTTTAGATGTAGTCAAAGCTGCTCACATTAACAGATTCACTTCCTCCCTCTGTACTTCAGTTGTTAGAATTTCCTTTACTCAATTCATTTTCCAGTTAAGTTTTTTTTTAACACTCTGCTGCATGACTCTACGATTCACAAAGAATTGCAATTTTTGCATGTTTAAAATGTGTCACATCTGGAAAATAAATGGCAATTTAAACACTTTAAATTCTCCCTCATTCTTTGAATATACTTCAGCTGCCACAAGAAATACAGAGTTTCTTAAACGAAGAGCAGAGGAGATAAATTTGGATCCTGTCACCTTAACAGTTTGACACCATTGCTGTACCAGCACTCCTATATGATTAATTACCTCCCTGGAGATGAAATCATTTGCATCTTGCTAAAAATAACCACTGCTCAAGACTTCGTGGAAAAAAATAAAAAATGAATCAAGTACAAAATTTTGCACTCATTTTTCTCTACATGAATAAAAAAAATTGCATTTCTTAAAATAATAATTTCTGATATTTTGAAAGATTTTGTGTGCAATTGGCTGACACCTTTTCACCCACAAAATATAGTCGATTAACTTTACAGTATATTCTGTGAAAGCCTTTGAGATATCTTGAAGACACGATAAGACGCTATATCAAATGCAAGGATTATTATTATTTTCATGCGTTTATTTGTTGGCAGATGAATTGGGCGACTTCACTAGAATTCTATTGTGCGGGGATAATTGTCATCATTGGCCATACATAGCTCAAGCTGCCCAAAGCAAGTCATTAATTATACAGTTCTGAGTTTTACACTTCAGAGCATCTTGCCCCAAAGCAATGGAAACAGGAAACATTTTTAGTGACCTAAAAATACAGTCACTATGTGCCACACTGTGCCACACTGACAATGTGATAAGACACTACTATCAACTGGAAGGAACACTATAATAAAGATTTCAAGGCAAGTAAAATTCATGGTACTCCTTCCATTATGCTAATTCAATGGAATATAAATGTCCAGTTTTCAAGACATTCACCTCTGTCAAAACAGGAAATTTAGTCACCAACAAAAATACACACTAAATCCTGTGAAGTGTTTTGAGATATTGATAACTTGATAAAGTGCTATATCAAATGCAAGGATTATTATTGGATCTGGTATTCAAACATAGCGTACTGTACGCAAGAACAGTATATGGCCAGTTAGAAGCAGTGCATTTTCACACAATGATCTTCATAAGATCAGAATAGATAATTAAATTGTTACTGATAGCAGTATTTCCATCAGAACCAGTCACCCTAAAAAGTATATACCCAGCAATATGGTACTAATGTACTATATCATATGATGTCAAGATGTTAAGCCTGGGGTTCAGTCACTGGGAGCAATGAATCGAATCCTAGATGCTCTTCACAGTCATCTTGGCACTCTTGCACATCTACTGATATCTGGTTCAAAGCAAGATCATCAATAACTTCTTCTTTGTAGAACTGAACGAGTTTAAATTTTGCCCATTATATAGCATAAAGGTAAAACTAACATGTGAATTTTATATACCTGTAGAGAATGGTAATCGCGATTCACTTAACCTGCATTTTACTTTCCGTGAATTTGTTTCTTTTTAAAATTATTGTAACAATTTTCTGGGTCATGGTTTCATCTTAAACCACTTCAAAGTTTAGGTTGTTGGTTTGAAGCCAACTCAAATATGTAATATTTACCACAGCTGCTGTTCGTGCAAACGTCTGCAACAGCTGGAGAAACAGTTCTTCTGCAGTCAAGTTCAACAAGTGTTTGACATGTCTCACTTTGCATTTTTGAGTTTTCTGACACAGTAATGGTAAAGCCAGGTCACTGAATTTAATACTTACTTTTAACAAGTAAAACTATTTGTTTAATTCAGTATTATCTTACCAAAAAGCAGGCAGAAGTAGCCATTAATTTAGTTTTAGTTCTGTTGTAGTGACTCAGTGTGACTAACAAATGCCACCGTTGAGTGTGAGTATGAAGCCGTTTTGCTTCTGCAATATACAATACAGAGCGAAAAGCCGAATTTAAAGTTTCCACAAAACAGTTTGTACACAGGGAGAGGAAAACCACAAATCTTGAATTTGGTCTTTAATAACATGAATAAAAATCTACTCAAATTTCAGTCTATCCAACTGAATGTGATAGCCAATTTGTTCACAACAATGTCCCACAAACAGCCATGAAGTGAATGACTAATTTTAATCTGATTAATTGTTGGAGAAACTCCCTCCTCTTTTTGGATGGTGACATGGAACATTTAATGCCCACCAGGACAGGACTTGGGTTCAAATTTCTCATCCAAAATTGCAGTGCTCCTCCAACACTGCATTGCAGTGTCAGCTTAGACAGAAACCCACAACTGTCTGACTTAGAAGCAAGAGGGCTAACTAACTGACCCAGGCTGACACTTTCCATAAGAGAAGTGGTAAATGATGAGCAAGATAAAAAGCATTCTAGAAGATTTGGATCAATTAAAAAGTATTCTCTAAATTAGTCTGACATGTGTGTGAAAAGCATCAGCCTGCTTAAAAGTATTCAAACCATTCAGAGTTCCAGAAATACATGTCACGTACACATAAAGATTTCCCTGCTTATATAGTTACACTTGAGTCATCAGTCATGATCTGAGAATAGTGGATGCAAGGTGTGGCAAATGTACTGTAATGTAGCTTAGAATATTCCAACAAATGTGTACGTGATGGAGATCCAGTAATAAAATGTGGATGAAGAAAATGATATGAGCCTGATTAGTGATCATTCACTGGAAGTTTCAAATCAATGTGAAGCCATTATAAACAAAGCTAAGCTAAAGAAATAATATTCTATTGTTAGGGCTTTGAGCCAAGCACATTATTCTAGCCGCATATGGAAGACTGGTGACACTACATTCAGAATTCCTGCAAATCAGAGCAATTATAAAGACTGATGGTCATGTCTTCACTCTTTTGTCCTGCAGGAAAAAGTTGAACACTTGGAGTCCTAACTGACACCGATAGCGCAACAGTGCAGAATTAACATCAGTACTTGTTAAATGGTTTCTCCTCCAGCCCCCACACTGTGACGTCTGGCGGCCCCCAGGGATCTGTCCTTGGCCCTCTCCTTTTTAATATCTCCATGCTCCCCCTTGGTGACATCATCTGCAGACATGGGGTCAACTTCCATATGTATGTGGATGACACCCAACTCTATCTTTCTGTCTCCACCCTCAACTCCAGGCCCACTGCTGTTCTGTCAGATTGGACATCAAGTCATGGATGAGGGCAAATTTCCTACAATTGAATGTGAACAAGACTGAGGCTCTCCTTATTGGCTCGCGTCAGTGCCTCAGCACCTCAGGCTCTGGCACCATCAACCTCCATGGTTGCACACTTCAACTCACCAGCCAGTCAGGAACCGAGGTGTCTTGTTCGACCCTCAACTGTCTTTTCTTCCCCACAACCAAGCCATGACCCGCTCTGCCTTCCCTCACCTCCGTAACATCGCCCGACTCCACTACTATCTCACCCCTCAGGCCGCTGAAGCTCTTGTTCATGTATTCATCATCTCCAAGTTCGACTATGCAAACGCCCTGCTTCCCAACTCCTCCCTCCACAGGCTACAGATAATCCAGAACTCTGCAGCCTATGTCCAACTCGCTGCGTGAAAAAATTTCTTCTCACCTCCCCTCGGCTTCTTTTAGAAACTATTTTGAATCTATGACCTTGAGTTACCGACACACCCACCAGTGGAAATAGTTTTTCCCTTTCTAACCTATCAAATCCCCTCATGATTTTGAAGACCTCTATTAGATCTCCTCGTAACCTTCTCTTCTCCAATGAGAATAATCCTAACCTCTCCAGCCTTTCCTCATCATCAAGGTCCCTCATTCTGGTACCATCCTCGTAAATCTCCTCTGCACCCTTTCCAATGCCTTAACATCCTTCCTATAGTGTGGTGCCCACAACTGGGCGCAGTATTCTAACTGAGGCCTAACCAGTGTTTATAGGTTAATCATAATCTCCTGACTCTTGTACTCTATGCCCCTATTTATAAAGCCTAGAATCCCATTTGCCCTTTTTACAGCTTTATCTCCCTGTCCTGCCACCTTCAAGGATTCAGTTACCTGCACCCCCAGGTCTCTCTATTCCTTTACCCCCCTTAAGATTGTATTACCAGCCTGTATTGCCTCCCCTCATTCCTTCTGCATTTCTCTACATTGAAACTCATCTGCCATGTGTCACCCATTTTACCATTCTGTCTATGTCCTCTTGCAGTTGGCTCTTATCCTTCTCACTGTTTACCACCCTACCTAACTTTGTGTCGTCCGCAAACTTGGAAATAGTGCTTGCTATACCCAAGTCCAGATCACTTATGAAAGGTGCTATACAAATGTAATCTTGTTGTTGTTGTCTACAAAGCAATGATAATACAACTGTACTAATTCAGGTGAATACATTAATTCACACACCTTACACTGCTAAGATTCATTAGGTCATCGATATTCATCATTTAAAGCAGACATTTAAATAAAAGCCTAGATGGCAAAGCAGCACTGTGAAGTAGAAAAGTAGCGAGGTCAAGACCTGTATCTGTGATCGTCCCAAAGTGGAGTGGAAGGAGTGAGGAACAGTAGACCAGTATTGGAAGAGTGCACAGCATATACAGGAGGAATAGGGCTGGAAGATAATGCATAGACGGAGAGGGAGTGGAACTGTGACGTGGATTAGAAGAGGGGAGAATATGAAAGTGAGTCTGTTGGGTGCTAGTACCAGTGGAATCAAAATGGGAGTAGGGGAACAGTGGAATATAGTGATGTATTGCACACTTTCCTTAATTCAAAATAAGACCAAATTCTATTCAAAATAGTGGGTGTTTTGTTGATGCCTTACCTGATACTTGGAAAAAAGAGAATGGTTGGAAAATGGTCGACCATATATTCCCAAGGAAGGTCATTTTTAGCCACGTTGATTCTGAAAGCATTAGGACAAAAACTGAGACAAATACAAAAACACAAAGGGGTCTTTTGTCCTGTGAGCATTAAGTACTGCAAAGCAACACATTGTGCTTTCAACAAGAATACACATGCTTAAACTAGGTACAGAATTTAAATAAGTAAACTCTTTGTGGGTCTCAATGTCTGACATCACAATTGTTCATAACAATTTAGAAATTGTTTATAGTTGTGTTTAGATAATTACTTTAATACAAAGATGATTAAAAGGTTAGCTTTTATGACTGACTTAAAAAAATCTTGTTTTGAAGTGCTACCAATTTTTCAAATTCATGTCATATCTAGCCAGTGATGAATGTCAAGGGCTAGATATGACATGTTTATGTCAGTTAATGAAGGATGTTTTCAGGTGGTATTTTGTAAAAGTACATTCAACTGACCACATAATATTTAAGCACAGTGAATCCTCACAAACAGCCATGGTGTGAGTGACCAATTTTATTTGGAGGATTGTTGACCAGGACACTAGGAAAAACTCCCTTCTCTTTTTGAGTGGTGCCATGGGATCTTTAATACCTGTCTGAACAGGCAGACTGGAGCTCGATTTAATGTTTCATTTGAAGTATGGCACCCACAAAACATTGCATATCCCTAGATTGTATTGCAGACGATACAAGGTTCAAGGTGCTGGATTAGAGGTGAGAGTGCTACCAGGCTGACATTAGACTGGGGAACACCAGATTTATTGGTTTCATTGCTGGTGGTAAGTGGGGAGAAGGTGGGAAGATTCAAAATTGGCATTTAACAAATAAAACAATTTTCTCTTACCTGGCTATTGCAATTCTGTTATTGGAACGGAAGAGAATGGCAACCTGAATAAACAAGTGATTCAGAACAGTGCAAAATCCACACCACTGAGTGTAGTAGAGTAATAAGACATTCTGTAACAGAAAATATTATACAAATCAAACAACTGCATTGATCCCCTTCTTCCCAATCATCTCCCTATCCCCAAATAAAAGTTTGATCCATTAATGACTGGAGCAATGCCAGAGGTCAGTCTTGTTTAAAGAAAGCTGCTGATAAAATGATCAATGAGACATCATAGGTAATTAAGATGTTCCAGTCCAGTGATGCTGATTAGAGTGTGTGCGTACATGTAGGTATAAATGAGAAACTTATTCTGGTTTAATTGCTTATTAGTTTTTTTTAAAAAAAATACACTCAAAGAAACCCAACTGTACAAATTCTTAAGTTAACAACATCTTGGTAGCCAAGACTAAAGGCTGTTACCAAATTCTTCCCCCCACCCCAATTGCCTTAAGAGAACATCATTTTTTTAAAAAAAAACTCCTAGCCATCGAAAGACAAAGTATTAATTATGTGCACAATGAAGGGCACAAAGATGGAGAAGAAAAAGAGAATGTGTGTCATTATTGATAAGTCATTAAATATTCCAGTTAAATTATAATAAATAATCATTGCAATTGATATAGCATCTTTCGCACCAGAAGCACATCTCAAAAGCCTTGTGTCACAGTCTACACTGTGAAGTGACTTTGATAGGTGCATACTGTGGCCAATGCGCATACAGTAATACCCCACATTGTTGGCCAGAACATTGGGTAAAACTCTTTTCAAACATTGTCATGGGAATTTTAAACTCAATTTGAACAGGGGGGCAGGACTCTGTCCACATGAAATTAAAGTTCCCCTGTGGGGTTTAAACCCACGTCTCATCCATAGGACGCTACCTCCAACCCCCAGGACTCCACTGTAGCATCAGAGAGAAAAAGAGAGTAGATTTGTGGAAGGAAACACCTGGGTTGAAATGAGATGTCGAGCTGGTAACTATTCTAGTTTAAACTCAATTGCCTTAAGAGAACATCATTTTCTTATTCCACCTTCTCTCCCTAACCAGTGCGAAGTGGGGTGGGCGGGGGGAGTGGGGGGAGAGAGAAGATGGAGGAGGAGAGAGAGAAAGGAGTGGGGGGGTGAAGTCGCCTGTCTCCCCACCTCCTATATTTATTTTGTCATTTTTTTTAATATACACAATGTTCTTTGGGAACAATGAAGAAAAAAAATCTGAACATTATTTAAAAAATTGCACTGCTTGCTTCATTCTTGCTTTCTAACATCCAGCATTACAATTGCTTAGCTTTACCACAAATGTAAGGTTGAAAAGTGTGACCTAATACATTATTCCAGAAAGACCACAAGAAAATGCCAAGGATTAATTATTCATGCATTTCCAACTCTGTGGGATATTAATATTCCATGCACAGTATTCTGCACAGTCCATCATTTCATTGATCATTCCGAGCATGGAAAAAAAAGATGTCAGTCACCAATCACTTTTCCGGATCTGGTCCAAACCATAAAAATAAATATCTTTTACCCTTCACTATTAAAATATAACAAGAATTCGGTATTTGCGAAAGCTACAGCACAAATTCACTTCATGACTGCAACAATTTTAGATCAGAACATTTCCTATAATACCTTCAAAAATAAGAATATATGCAAATATATTTCCACTGCTTCAGCGGATTTTGGAAACGTGCGGTGCATGCAGACTTAGCCAGAGCATTCACTGCAATTTCTCCCTTTACCCCTTCACGAGCTGACAGCTCCTCAGATAACTGGAGTATCTTTGCTGGAACCTACCTCGCCACTTCCCATATCACTTCAGATTTCCTTTGGATGGAAAGGCTGATGAATGATTTAGAGGTGTTGAAAGTCTTATTTATAAAAACATGGCTCTTGCATTAGGCAACCTAGAAGTACAAGAGGTAGAGCACTTGTGTATCAATTAGAAGGTCTGAGCCTCAGGATTATTTGCCTCGTATTCCCATTTATACAGCTGGAATTGAAGTGATAATTTTGCAAGATGATCTCAGCAGCTCTCCACTGTGATTTGCTTCTGAATCTCACACCTCATCCCCAATTTACACTGTATTTTCATGCCAAATTAATGCAAAAACTGCATTATATACACAGTGTTAAGTTCATCTAATAGTCAAGTGAAGTTGCTTAGTTTAAGCAAAGTAAAGCTCTGTGCACTTAGGCACATTTGCTCAGCTCTGCTTGAGAAAAAAATAATTTTAACTCCACCATTCTTTCAGAAAACTAACTTCAAAATAACCAAAATTTACTATTGCAATAAGATATTTTCAACAGGAATAATGGTTTGAAAAAGCAATTTGTTGCCCAAATATAGAAACTCACATAGGCATCAGCAATAAAATGGATTCACCTTTTCAGGGTCCAGTACGATGCTGTCAAATATCTGAGTTGTTATTTCAGTGATTAAAGGTTCTTCCTGAGCTTGGGCTTTGGGGTTAGCAACAAGATGACGATTCAGTGGACTGTACACACTGCTGTAATTTTTAATAATATTTTCTGCAATAAATAAGAAAAATAGTATTAAAACAGAGCTGATATTTCTAAGAGGTGCTTGGCAACAGAATGTTGATAGATGGGGTAGTGTTGGTTATTTGGTTTCTGGTTCACAGCTCTCCAAGGCACTGCTAATGACAGACCTGCAGCCTGGCTCATTCCCATTTATACAGGGCAAACTTGACTGGAGACAGGTATTCTTCCCACTCAGCTCCTGCAAGCTAAACCCCTAATGGACAAGCAGCTGAAAAATTGTTAGACAACGCTCTCAATTTCAAGCCATGCAATTTTAACTGCTTAATCTCAAACAGTACTTCCACTGTACATTGGGATTGCCGAGATTTAGCTCCTTGCCAACCTGCACCTCAATCTTTCCGGAATGAATTAAGTAGGGCATGTCCCTCCGCATTCCATTTGAAACACTGAGCAATTTGAATATGTAAGTGGCAAATATATGCAGAGCCGAGTCAGATTTGGTTACTGACATCACTTTCCTACGCTTTAAGCGTTCTACACAAGAAATGTTGCTGACATTCCTTCCTAAAAGAGAAGGCAGCGGTACTTACCAATAGAAGATTTATCAAGCATCTGCTTTTGGTCAAGGACATAGTGAACTTCGTCATGTAGGTTAACGACTGTAGCAAATTCTTTCACATCTGCAGATTCGTTGGCTCCTAACCTAGTGGCAAAACTCCAGTGCAAGTTTGAATCCAGCAAGTAGAAGTTCAGAGTTTTATTAGTATTACAGATCAGTCCTGTAATGTTGATTTGACTGTGGTGCAGACCTAAACGAGTTGATGCACTGTCCTCAACGTGAGGAAAAGAACTGTGCGAAGCCACCCCAATTGTTTCTTCATTATAAAATAATTCTGAAGGTGAAAGGGTGTGGATAGCTTTGGAATTAGTAAGTGGACTGCTGAATGTCCTGCAGCATGCACTGTAATAGTTGAAAGGACTATAAGAGCTTAAAAAATTGGTGCACTCCATCTTGTTTGACGTTAAATTCAGAAATAATTGTTCATTGAGGTAGAATGAATCCAGTGCTGCCTCCATCTCCATGAAGTTACATCTCTGTATACTGACCACTCTCGGCTTTACTCTAACAGTGTGATTAATGCACAACTCACAGATATTGTGCATCCGGGACACAGAATGACACTGGGGAAGCATTATTGTATTACAACAAGACTTCCTAGCCAAGAAGTGAGTTTCCACTGGATGTGGAGACGAATCTGTGGATGGATCCTCTCGGTCAGACTCCTTTGCACCTTGTGTATGTTGTAGTGAACTGTGAATATTTGTGGTCCTTTGGCAGTTGTGATATTGAAAAGCAACTTCCTTTATCTGAGCGGAGGAGAGAAAAAGGAAAATCAATTGTATGGATCACAGGAAGCAAAATGCCAGAACGCAGAGGTCATAGGAGGACGTAAGGGAATAAACCATCAGCCCACATGAGCAACGTCCACACGAACAAAACTGGCAAGCCGTGCCTTTGGCATCCCGCTCTTCCCTCTGAACTACAGCTACAATACCCCTGAAAAGTACAGGATATCAATCTTTATGGTATATCCTGTGAAGCTTTTTGAAACATTCTCCTGATGTGAAAGGTGTTGTATGAAATGCAAGGATTACTATTATTAGTTAATGAATAAACAAGATTTTTAAAGTGTAGAAACCTTCCTCTTTTGTAATGTTTTGCAGTTGATGGTAGGCGAGAACCAACATTACAGTATTCTCCCTGGAGGCAAACTATTTCCTCCTTACTCTCTGTATACATAAGCGTTTAAAATTGCAGCAAGAGGAGGTAACAACTTTTTCACGGCTTTCTATTTAAAAAAAAGTCAATATTCAGCTGTACAATTGCTCTCAAGTTTTTTTTTAAAAAAAAACGCAAAAATGATTCATTTCATACAAATTTTATCTTGAAAAACTGCATGTTTGGTTAAGGTTTTTGTTTTACCAGTTAAGCAGTGTCATTTTCCAGATCTAGCAAAATGTATAAACATTTGGTATACTGTATTTGGTTATAAAAATAAAAGATGACACTTAAAAAAAATCTGTTCCATGGCCTCCTAGCTGGACACCTACTCTAAGTATAAGAACTAGTAGGCATTTTTGGTCTTAGTCAAATTTTGTAGGAACAGCATGTGATGCTTTGATCCCAGTATTTCATGCTGACGTTTTGCATAAATGCAATACCAAGCCATACAAGGCAGGTTTAATCATGTGTACAGCTAGTAGATGCTGGCAGTGTGGATGTCAGCATTTGTGAGCTGGGATTAAATAATAGAAGGAGGGGTGGAATGTTAGCCAAACTTCCTGCTCGCTAACTCTACATCCTTACTTTTATTATCTACTCTCACTGACCTGTCCTTTTACTTATCCCATTGGTTTAGATTTAAACAACGACTTGCCCTTCCAAATAAAAGCACTAATCTCCCTGGTTGGTAAGTTTCCACTTTCAATATATTTAAAAACATTTGTTAACAATGAGTAACTGTGATGGGTTATTAATGGACAAGCTCCAAAGTCTTGGCTATCCTCCTTGACATAGCACAAGGTACATAACATTTGAATTCCATTTTAATTAAATTTATAAAAACTTAAACTTGGAGAAATAATTTTGACAAACTAACTAACAGGCTTATACTAGTCATTACCTTATACTAATGGGTTAAGTGGAAACAGTTCAGTAATCAGACTTCATTTTCCTGAAATTACTATTAGCAACAAAAACAAGGTAGGATGATCAGGGGAATGGGATTTTTGCACATGAATATAATTATTACATTAAGCTTTACAAAATTACCCACCAAGAATTCCCAATACCCAGAGTAGAGTGGTAATGATCCATAAAAGTGCTCTTCAATTTCAACATGAACTCAGAAGAGCCAATAAAGGCCCATAAACCTCTTCAGTAGCGATTCAGGAAAGAGCAGGACAACTTGTGCAAAACCCTCATTGTTCAGCGCCTTGAGACGTCCTCCCGACGTGAAAGGCGCTATATAAATGCAATTTGTTGTTGTTGCGAGCAGTCAGATTGGCAGTGGCTATATTTCTTGTTAGTGAACTGTGAAACATTCAAGCCAGTTTTTAAAAAGCTGGTAGCCAAACAAGCTTCTCAAAACAGTTCCTACTCTGAACCCCTCAAGATAGATTTCTTATAGTGTGACTAGGGTGTGAACCCTGATATTTACTGAACCCCAGAAATCCAAAACATGCAGATTAGTGATCATGCCATTATATCGCTGGTGGGATTTTATAGACCCTCAACTACCATGTTATAACGGGGCTCTATTGTACAAGTTGGGCAAGTTTTTTTTAAAAAATGTTCCTTGTTTTTATTTCTTACTTCATCCATTAGTGGCTGGCTTTCGTGCAGTGGGTTGAAGGGGAGAAACAGCAGTAGTGCTGGGCCTTTCTTCAGCTCATTGTTCAGCAGGAGGCTCTTGCCCCCGTGCGGCCTCAGCCAGCGTATGAACGTTTCTCTGTTCTCGAAAGCCCAGGTGTAGAGATTCACAGCAGTGAAATTTAAATCATGAGGAAAGACCTATAGCAACAAGAAAGACAACAAATATTTTCAGCGTCAAGTTAATAAGTAAATATTCTTAATTCAGACACGGGTAAGTTAAAAGTAAAAATAAACCAGGAAGTTGTATTAACTTCCTGGTTTATTTTTACAACAAACACTGTTAATTTGTTGCAGATTTTGGAGGTTTAGATTTTTAATCACTCCATGTACGCAAACATGTGAAATAATATTTTTCTTATATTAGACACAATCAGTAGTGATTTCCCATGCATTTTCATTTGACCTTAATCTAATGAATATAAAGAATTTTATTTGTTAAAAAGAAAAGCCAAATGCAATTAACAAGTCAATCGCAGAAAGTCTGAAATTCACTGAATAAGGTCAGTTTATGCAGGCAGAATGTCACCAAATAATAATCCACAGAAGTGGATAGTTATTTTGCATGAGTGATAATTGTATTATAATTCCATTCTTGCCAGAGGTTGAAGAAGAGCTTGAATTCATAAAGGGTTGATGACTTACTTAGTACCGTTTAGTCTCTTATGTCTACATTAAAATTAATCACTTCAGGCTTGCAGAGGAGATTCTTTTTCTGATTAAGGCAGAAATATGATAGCATGATATAGTGTAGCTCCAACACACAGCTCAAAACTCAAGCTCAATTTGTGGGAACAAACCACATTAAGACTTTGAAATTAGTTCAGTAATTCTACGCAGTGATTTACACTGTCAACAAGCATCAGTTCCTGTTCTACTGGTTGTAAATATCACTTAACTTTATTTCCTGTGAAAACTTAAGATAGAAAGATAAAACTGAGTCTCAGCCACCTGCTTTAGTACATACTTTTTTTTCACAAATATTAATATTTAATTCCATCAAAAAAGTACTTGGTTTTGGAACAAATGGAAGTAGCAGTAACCAACATCCATCAATACTATTTTTTTAAAACAAGAAAAAGGAAACAGGTGGTTAATAAAAAAAGAAAGTAACATTATATTTTTATTTCGGAAAGCTGTTTTGCAGACAATATGCAACAGTTGATAACATATTTAGATGATTAGTGGTCACTACCCATTGTTCCTTGATAATCTGTAGGTAAAAAATATTTTGAAAACAAAAACACTTTGGCAATTTGTGAGATTTTGTTGGTGCAGATGACTGCCACAATAGTCTAAAAAATTGCACTCAATAATTACCAATGAAGGGCTTGGAGATGTTTTGATATATTTTACGTTAAAAATACAAGCTCCTCCTTCCTTCCTACATGCAACGTATTTTATCGGTCCATAGTTTTTCTTTCTGGGGGGGGGGGGGGGGCTGGACTGGAGAGGAACTTGTGCCTTGGGACGTTCTTCTGACGTGAAAGGCGCTACACAAATGTAATTTTGCTGCTGTGTTTTGAATCAAGATATGCAGAGTTTGATTTCTTAAGTTAAGAAATAGACTACTTAGAAATTAAGCATTACTTACTAAAGAGGAGTTGAAATGTCTGTGCATGTAAATGGTTCCAGGATTGGTCACAGATATCTCTTCTGCCACTTTCTTGCTTGTTATCACACCAAAGCGAATTGTTCCTTGATAATCTGAAGGTACAAAATAGTTTGAAAACAAAAACATAAGCCTTAGGAGGTGAAATAGATAGGATGAGGATGTTCTTTGGTTAATATTGTACAATTTCCATCTTCGCTTTCTGATTTCAGGAACAAACCAAAAATACATGCTCAATTCCAAAGAGGCCTGTGCATCACCTGTTCTGATAGATAACGTGTCTCATAATAATAATCCCTGCATTTGATATAGTGCCTTATCACGTCTTCGAGACATCTCAAAGCACTTCAAAGAATATATACTGAAAAGTGAATGGACTGTATATTTTGTGGGCAAAAAGCAGTACAACAACAACAACTTGGATTTATATAGCGCCCTCCACGCCGGACGGCGTCTCAGAGCGCTTTACAATAACGGATCCCGGGACCGAGCCAGGGGGAGAGGGAGGGGCCAGGGGGAGGGGGAGAGGCCAGGGGGAGGGGGAGGAAGGTGATCAAAGACACGGTCAAAAAGGAAGGTCTTCAGCAGAGACCTGAAAATGGGAAGGGAGGGAGCGAGACGAAGGGAATGAGGAAGGCAGTTCCAGAGCCTCGGGGCATAGTGGCTGAAGGCACGGCCGCCGAGGGTGGAGCGGAGGACTCGGGGGATGAGGAGGAGGCCAGACCCGGAGGAACGAAGGCAACGGGTACTGTTTTGAGGAGAGAGGAGGTCAGAGAGGTCGGGGGGTGCAGAGGAGCGCAGGGACTTGAATACACAGGTGAGGATCTTGAAATCGATCCTCTCTGGGATACGCAGCCGGTGCAGTCTGGCCAGGACTGGGGGATCGGGGAGCGGAGTTTCGTGCGGGCGGCAGAGTTTTGAATGATTTGGATTTTATGGATGGTAGTGGATGGGAGACCGGTGAGGAGGGCGTTAGAGTAGTCCAGCCGAGAGGTGACAAAGGCATGGACCAGGGTTTCAGTAGCTTTTGGGGAGAGGTATTGGCGGAGACGGGCGATGTGTCGGAGGTGATAGAAGGCGGTGCTGGTGAGGGACCGGATGTGGGGAAGGATAATTGGGGGTCAAACCTGACGCCTAGGTTGCATACGGGTAGCTAATTGTGCACAGCAGTGTTTCACAAATAATTAAGGATTGAGTGACCAAATAATTTTTTTAAATTTTCTTTTTGAAGGAATTATTACCCCCAGAAAACCGATCCGCCAATCGACTAACAACCAGGCTGCTACTTACGGCAACATAAACAGAGGTGTGTGGAGTACGCTAATTACTAAGCTATAGAACTTCCCTCAATTAGATGAGGGGGAAGGAAATAGAGGGGTACAGGAGTTGTTTGGTATTCTTTGGATGGAATTTTTAACTGCAGTGAAATCTGAGGTTTCCAATTTGATTACTCTAATCAGGTGGAGGAAAAGGAAATCCCAGAAGAAAGGTCCATTGAGACAGATACTCCAGGGTGTTCAGGAGAGATGGCTAAAAGCATCAAAAACAGATGCTGTTTGACATTAACATCTTCAAGAGATCTGCTAATATGAGAGTAGTCTTTTCCTCTCCCCTCAGTTACCCTCAGGACACAAGTACGTTGGTCAAACCACAGTTTGAGCAGTGGAAACAGCTGGCTGCAATCAAGACAACCTTAGAAATGAAATACTGTATATGTGTCCTGTTACAAGCAAGTTATTGTAGAACACAGAATTTAGTACAAAGGTGGCAAAAATCCAACAGTACTTTATGCATTTAGCAAATCATTATCTAGTAGAAAGTCAAACAAATTTTAATGCATTTGAAGACATCAGGTTTCTTCATATTTTATACATAATTGTCATAGATAACAATTGCAGATTACTGAGCAGATTGTGTAACTGTCAAATACCTCACCACAATGAGAAAAAAAAGTTAGGAAAGTAGCACATTTACTCATCTAATACTTGTGGTTCTTTGCTAACAATGTAATTATCTAACTGATTGAATAATACAGCACCAGCCAGATAATACCAGCATAAATTATTACATCAACCCTGGTTTAAACGTTTAACAAGTTGACGACCAAATAAAACTCTCTATGTCCGGCAATTATAATTGCAATGACCCAGAAAAAAATGGTTTATATAGAAAGCAAAACTACTAGATCACCTTGAATTTGTTTCAAGAGATCCATCATTTGTGTCCAAGGATCAGGACCCGTGCAAGAACATTAGCAATTACATACAATACAGACAAGCTTTAAATAAATCTACAGCTGTTTATTCATGTGTTCACATTGGATAGATAGAATTATAGCAAAACATGCAATGCATTTGCTTGAAAGAACACCAGAATATGCTAATCTGATGGTGGTCAGGACTGAGTTTAGAGCACAAGAGTTTGCACTGAAAGAGAACTTTTAAGCGTATTTCTTAAATAAGGTATGTGGGAAGCGGTTGTAGGACTTAACAAGGCCAAGTATCTTTGCCTGAATAGACTTTATTTAAAAAAAAGCCTGACAGCTCAGAAATGAATAATCAGCAAAAGCACACTGCTGTTCAAAAGCAAGGTCCACATTCCCCAGTTAATGTAATTAAAACTAAAAATCTCCTGACTGTAAAAGATAGATTGACTAATCCAGATCTTAAAGCAACTAATATAAATGAATCATAATGGCATACATAAAATAAATTAATCAAGATTTGACTGCTGAGGATATTTGAACAAACACAGATAACAGAGTTGGGGACCTAATTAAACAAGTGTTCACAAGATCGATAATGAAGGCCTTCAACCCATCCAATCTCATCTTTCCAGAACATCCACCCTACTGTCCCCCCCATCACAGCATCAAGCTGCTTTTTAACTGAGTGTTCCGGCCTCAACTTCCTTTCCTAGCAAAGGAGTCCGGTAGCTCAGTGGTTAGAGCACTCGCTTTGCAAGTGACCTGAGTTCAATTCCAGTCAGGGCGAAATCTTGGGCAAGTTTCCTTACTCCACACAGAGCCTAATGATAATCCCTCCAAAAAAACAAAATAATAAAAATTGGTTATTTTCAATCTACAACTGTTTGTGGGACATTGCTGTGCGCAATTGGCTGCCGCGTTCGCCCACAAATATGCAGTCAATTCACTTTACAGTATATTCTGTGAAGCACTTTAGGACGTCTAGAAGATGTGAAAAGCGCTATATCAAATGCAAGGATTATTACTATTATTATTATTATTATGTTCCAGTTGTTAATTACCCCTGAGTAAAGAAAACGTTTCTGGTGTTGGTTCTGAAATTGCAATTTACAACACAAAACGTGTGCCCTCTTGTTCTACAGGGGCATCCTAAAGTATTGATCTAGATGTACTTTTTCAATCTTATTTAAAATTTGATACCCCTCTATGAGCTTGATACCGATCCAAGGAGAGAAGGTTGGCGATTGTTGGCGCTAGTCAGGGTCGAAGAGAAAGTCTTTCATGTGTGATCTGAAGATGGGCAAGGCAAAGAGGGATTGAGATAGGGTTCCAGAGTCTCGGGTGCAGTGGATGAAAGCACTAATGGGCTCATGGTTAAAAGATTAATGGGTCTATGGTTTTTAGGTTTAGTTCTGTCACTTTTCACTTTACAGTATATTCTGTAAAACGCTTTGAGACATCTAGAAGATGTGAAAGAGCTATATCAAATGCAAGGATTATTATTATTTTCTTGAAAATGGAAAGTAAACATCTGCCTGCTTCCAATCCATTGAAACCTCCCCAGTACTGATTGACTCTCTCATAATGTCTGTCATTGCTGCACAAGTCTCCTCTCTTGTCTCCCAAATACCTTGAGGTTCAGTTCCTTTGTCCCAAGGGATTTGTTGGTTTTAATCGCCTTCCACAGAAACGGAATGAAAAATTGACCACTCCACAAAATGTGTGAGGAAGCACTCCTATGTAGTTTGGGCAACTGTATGGGTTACAAATTGAGAGTGCTGCAATTTCTGTTGCAGGATTCTGAATTGCTCTGCAATTTTATATTTTGATTCGGGTACTCTTCATTCATTGCTAACAAAGCTGCTCTGAACCATGCAGTAAACCACATAGGAGTGAAAATGAAATGCGTCAAGACAGGAAACTGCTGTGTTAGTTTGCATTTCATTAAGAGAGCGTTGATTGGATCCTTTTAAAAAGTATTGTTCTCATGTTTGGAATATAGAAGCAAATTAAGCATTCAACTGTGCAGTGAATATTTGATTATAACACAACCGTTACCATAACTACAAGGAGAACAATTTTCAGTTTGCAGAAAAGGAAGATTTCCAAATCTTCCAAAATTAAGAAGTACAGTGCTACATTGCATTTGTTTCAGTGAATGCCAGTTTCTCAGCAACACACCCAACAGACGCTGTGACTCATTTGCAGTTTCCGGTTAACTAATGTGAGCAGAATGGTAGATGAAAATGATAAGGGCTAAGCCATGTGTATGTTAATGATAAAAGGGCCTTTTCCTCTGTACTTGTGCATGATAAAGGGCAAAGTAAAGTATAATCCACTGGACTAGACACAAACTATACAGTAAAGCATAAGATACAACAAACATATGGTTTAATTTTTATGTTTAAAAAATTGACAGACAGCAGCATTAAAAGCAAAAGTGATGTATATTCTTGTTCCCATTCTGAAACTGCTGGCTTTCAAAGTTAGGAAATATTTGCACAAAACCTCTTACTGCAACAGTTTAGTAGCCAGCAAATCTTACAGAACTTCTATTCTAATAAAATACCTACGATACAACTTAAGCCAATAGCAAGCACATTAAAAAGAACAAAACTGATCAATGGAGTTCACTGTAAAGTAGCATTCACATGAATGCTGTACCCTTACTGAACCTATTGCACACATTTGAGAATTATTTGTGGAGACCTGTACCGTAGTGGTTAGTGTGCTCGCCTCACAAGCGAGAGGACACAGATTTGACTATTATTACCACAATTAACAATACCACCTATTAAAGTACTACATCCTACAGGGGAGAAAAATATTCACAGAAAGATATTTCTTGTATCAGTGGCAAAACTGATCATTTTCTTTTTAAAAAGCCTTTATTAAAAGTAAACTGATTTGAGCTTATATTGTTCAGCTCATTTCGCACACGTTTGCTAATGTAGTAGGGAAAAGGGATCCTTACCACTTTTTAGTGCATGCAATGCAGAGATGTACAACGTCAGGTAACCTGGAGGCTGTGGTGATGCATTGAATTCAAAATATCCAAGAATACCTGGCTGTGAAGAGAGAAAGCGATTTACCAACCTAATGCGAAATATATTTATGCCACCAATCATGAAGGTAATCCAAAGCAATAATTCTCTATAACATGTAACTCAATACGGAATCATACCAGCTTCAGTGTTTTTTTTCTTCAGGTGCAATTTAACATCTGCTGAACTGAGTTGCCAACAGTTCCATTTATTTGAGAAGGCAAATAGCCTTCTTAAGTAGAAGTCTTAATAGCAGTCTTGAGTAACATATGTAAAATACCTGCCTCTGCAACAATAATTCTTCAATGGAAACTATGATCATAAGCAAATGCAACAACAAAAACAATAAAATTATATTTATAGAGTGCCTTTCACATCGGGAGGACGTCCCAAGGCACTGGACAGTCAGGGGTCAGGACCCATGCATGGGGGAAGGGAAGGGGTGAGGGAAGGCAGAAGGGTGACTGAAGGCACGATTGAAGAGGAGGGGCTTGAGATTGACCTTGAAGGAGGCGAGGGAGGAAGCGAGGCGAAGGGACTGTGGGATGGAGTTCCAGAGTGTGGGGTCAGAGAGGCTGAAAGCCCGGCCACCAATGGTAGGGCAGGAGACATGGAGCAGGCCGGAGACCGCTGAACGGAGGGAGCGGGCAGGTTGGTAGGGAGTGGGTGGAAGTTGGGAGAGCAGTGGCAGCTGAGCGGATACCTTCGATTTTGGACTCGAGTTAGTCCAGCATTTCTTCGCAGTGAGAGTCAGAGGAAAGAATCTGCGAGGTGTGGCGGGAGGGTGGAGGAGGCAGTTGGTGGTGGAGAAGAGGAGCCTGGGGTTGCCCTTCGCCTCCAGGACTAACCTGGAGTAGAAAGACGATTTGGCTGAGGTAAGCGGTAGGTCTTGATGTGGTCCAGCCAGATGTGCCGGTGGACCATGAGGCTGGATTTGAGCCAAGTGTGTTTGACAGCCCGCACCTGGCCCTTGAGCGAGCGGAGGCGGCTGGCGAACCAGGGTGAGGATCAAGAATAGGAGGCAGGTCAGGAGGTGAGGGGGGGCAAGGACATTGAGTATGATGGAGAGGGTGCTGTGGAGGAGAGTAAACGCAGAGGATGGGTTGGTGCGGGAGGTGGGCCAGAGGGGGAGGAGTTCAGAGGACTCCAGGGCAGCGGAGAGGGATTGCGGGGAGATGTTCTTCCACGGGCGGTAGAAGATGGTGGTAGATTTGGAGGCAGTGGGGAGAGGGATATAGGAGTTGAGGGAGATGAAATGGTGGTCAAAGATGGCCTTGTCGGTGATGGTGACATCCGAGACGCTGGGTGATCACCAGGTCGAGCGGGTGACATTGAGCGTGGGTAGCAGAGTGGATGTGGGGGGAGAGATTGAGAGAGAGAGAAGTCTGAGGAGGTGGAGCAAGAGGGGGTGAAGTGGAGGTTGAAGTCGCCTAGGATGATGAGGCAGTCGGAGCAGAGGCAGAGGGAAGCTAGGAGGGTGGAGATGTCAGAGATGAAGGTGGGGGCAGATTTTGGGGGGGCGGTAAATTAAGAGAATTTTTAGTAGAGATGGGAAGGATGGCAGAGGGTAAGGTGTTCGAAAGAGGGGAATGAGCCAGCAGAGTAAGGGGACAGGGCACACCACCAACACGGAGGTTGGGGCATAGGGCATGGTGGTAGGTATAGCTGGGTGGTGTGGCCTCAGTGAGGGGGAAGGTGTCACCTGGGGTGATCCAGGTTTCCATGAGGGCCATAATATCAACGTTCTCATCGAGGATGAGATAATTGATGGCCAGGGTCTTATTGCAGATGGAGCGGACATTTTGAACCCCAATGCGGAGTGGACAGTTGGCAGGGGGATGTGTGGCATGGGAGGGGATAGTGGGTTGGTTGGCAGGGTGGTTCGGGATGCGAATGAGGGAGGAGAGGTTAGCCCCCGGGGTCTGGGTCTGGGGTGGCTTGCGGCAGAATGGAACAGTTGTTGTGCCCGCTGGACAGCCAACTCTGAGTGCCACGATGAGCCTGGTGGAGATTTACAAGCTGGAGCAGAGGGAGGCCAGAGGGGGGGGGGTCAAGCAGAGATAGGAGACGGGGAGGGCAGAGAGAGAGCAGGACAGAGCGGGAGAATTGTAGGGAGGGCGGCATTTTGAGGGAGGGCCAACTCGGGTGGGGAGCAGTAGCCAAGATGCGCACGCTAAGACAAGAGGCGGCAAATTAGTGGGACATTGTCAGCCTGCAGGAGGCTGTGGGGGATAGAGGTGGTGCAGAGGTGGGGGGGAGGGCACTCATTGTGGTTAGCAATACGCAGTCTGCAGGGGAAGGACAGGGGTGGGAGACAGACAGGATGAAAAGAATGAGACAGATAGAATAAAAATGCCATCCATTCATTATGCCCTAGGAACATTTCCATAGTGTTAGGTATGTTACAATAAGAGACACATTTTCCGGTTATGGTTAGATGTGAGCAATTAGATGCTTCATATAAGCATTTATTATGAATTATTTATTATTAATAATATACTTGTACGAAGCATCATGTCATCAAAACATCTCAAAGTTCTTCACAGAATTTACTGTAGAGTGTCGTGAAAAAAGCAAAATAAATATTTATATAAGTTGTTGTTGTAGTGACTCACAACAGCAACATCCCCCAAATAGCCATGATGTGAGTGACCAATTTTATCTGGGAGTTATTGGCCAGGACATCAATTCATTTACAGTATATTCTGTGAAGCGCTTTGAGAGGTCTGAAAGATGTGATAAGGCCCTATATCAAATGCAAGGATGATCAAACGTTGACCGTCCAGTGCCTTGGGATGTCCTCCCGACGTGAAAGGCACTATACAAATGTAATTTTATTGTTGTTGATTATTATTATTGTAAAAAGTATTGAAAAAATGTGTCCACCGTAACGATGCTTCCTCCTATCTTTTCACAACTTGACAGAAAATTGACAGTTGCAGTGAAACCAGTGTTAATATTAATAACCATGGTCCCTTGGGAGTCCATGCATATTAATAACTGTTAAGGTTTGATTAGACACCAGTAAGAATATACAAGTATCAGTTCCACACATTTTCTAGGGAGATTTGACCAGATCTATAGTTAAGTAGACATACAACAATCTATAAACCTGAATGATGAGCTCAATCAAACTCATCAAATGACCCACAGACCAGTTTCTGGAACCCATGCACATTCACCAACTAGCAAATGTTAACCTAGTTTTGGAGGACCAGCAGCACTCCTGAAGATTGCAGATTTGTATTTTAATGTTTGATCTCCCCCTAGTGGCCAGCTAGGAAATTAAAATGATTTGGAAACAAGAACTTACAAGCCCAAAAATCAAAGATTGATGCCTTGCGCCACACTTCGCCTGTGGAACTGAATCATTACACAAGTTCTTTTGGAATAAATACTTTGTGGATGGGAACAAAGAACCTCAGAATTGAGTTGAAAATCTGGTGATATATGAACACTATACAAGTTATGCTGGATTTCCCAATTAGACTCCATTATAATTTTAGGATTTTTTAAAAAAGACTATTCCACCTTAAATTGCATTAAAATCTTCTATTAGTACAAACTATGGTGATTACCTGCCACTATTAGTGATCTTGAATTCAACTGAACCAAGGCAGAATACTATAAAGAAGTGAAATTATGGAGAACAGGTCTTCCTAGTGCCTTGGGACGTCCTTCCGACGTGAAAGGCGCTCTATAAATGTAATTTAGTAGTTGTTGTTGTTACTAGCATTAAATAAAATGGATCTGATTGAGAAGCACCTTCACAGTACAAGGGAAGATACTGAAAAGCTAATAATTTTGAAACAGAATTTCCATAATGTTCGCCTACAAAATACACAATCACTTCACAATACAGTAAATCCTGTGAAGCACATTGAGACAGCCACCCAAAAGGCGCATTTAGACAGTCTCTGAACATCAGTGATGTCATTTTGCTGCGTATGTGCACTATGCACAAAAAGAACATAAGACACAGGAAGTTACATTATTTGAGTTTCCCGCACATATCAATGCACAGGTAGTGATATTAACATACATTACAACCGACAATGCTGACCAGATAACCCTAGAAGTCTACCATTTTTAGCACTAGTTAGTGTGAGAAGCTGAGTATGGCGAAGCAGCACTATAGTAGGGGAAGTGGGGGGGGGATTATAAATCGATTGCCCTGTATTTGGAAAGCTATCCTAAGTTAATTATGTCTTCACACATCCAATAAATGCAAAACAAATCTTTCAAAAAATAACTTACTTCATAATGTGAAAGGAAGTCCAGCAGGGTGGCTTGAGTAGGGATATACTGAAGTGGACTCATTACCTGTCGAATAAACTTCTGAATGTAAGGAGCTGTGAGAGGCCCTTTGTACTCAATAGGTCCAAACCTAATAGCAAACAAAATGGCCATTATACAATGCATTATGGGAGTTTCACATCCATCTAATACCTGTATCAACATTCAAGGTATAACCCCATATGGGATAGATATCTTGTATACAATGTGGGTTATTTGGTCGATACAAGCAAAGAAAAACATACTGACATTGACCCTACAAAAGATCAACTCCTTAACAAATGTTATATTTCTAAATCATCTATCAGCAAAATTTACCAGCAACATGCAAGAAGAAATTAACTTTTAGGTACATAGGAGGAGTAGATAAACTGGCCATGACATCAGTAGCTTGAAATAAGTACCTCATGAAGATTTGAACTCTTATTCTTCCATTAGGTTTTTCAGTTGAAGGTTTACCCATATGGTTTGGGGAATGTACATATTTTATAAATTATTTCTTACCTTCTATGATATAAGTGGATCACAGGGTAATAAAACATATTCATTTGCTTTCTGCATTTCCCCTGATGCCACCAGCAGTTTATAGCAAGAAACAATACCTGGAACAGAGAAGAGGTGCAGTCATTGTTTTAAAAAAAGCATCAGCCATTTGGTCAGGTCATGATCAACACCTCGGACTTCAATTAGCTTTCTGTAAAATTGTTTGTTGTTTTTCAATAGTGCTCCTAGATTATATTAAAGCTTCCCGTTCCATCCCTCCGATTCCCACTCTATCCATCCCTCCTGAAGCTGTGTTTCCGCAGAAGGCCTTAATATCCTTCAATGTGGTTCCCTATTCTAAATGCTACTCATCAACCTTTGAACGTGTAAATGGATACTGGGTGAGAGAACAGTCAGTTTGAGCCAGGGGTTGACCATCTGTATCCAGGGTCACATATAAGAATGTTCACTTGGGCAAGGCCATTAACACTCTCAGAAAGAAACCATTGAGCCCAACTAGTTTGTGCCAGTGTTTATACTCTAAACGAGCCAAAGGTTGGTCATTTTGTTACTCAGATTTTGCTATTGCAAAGGAAAGTTAATAATCAAAAGCTGACACTCACCTGATCCCAAAGCTTTCTTGCTATCTGTTCAATCTCTCCGCGGACAGATATAGACTCCCCACACCAGGGAGCATAAAACATAACGAAAGTAACTTCAGACATATGGCAATATCTTTCCATATGGTCCAGTTGTCCCATGTACAGATCAATAACAGGAGAGTTGTGGGAGAAAAATCTAACAGGAGGTGGAGCCATTCTGACAACATCTTTTGCTCGACTGTGGAGTAAAAAAAAAGTTTCTGTATCAAATATGCCTCTTCTTTTTAATAGTTTGTCTGGAAATAGTCGATTATAAATTATATAACCTCCAATTAACATCAGAAAAACAATTACAATTTGGAAATCTGCAAAAGCACTTTTTTAAAAAAAATAGAGAAGCAGGGCAACTTTGCTCTACACTTAAAGCTTGTAAAAGCTGAAAGTGCAATATAAACACAGGTATCCACTTGACAACTAGCCCTTTCTGGATGGATTTTTTGGATAGTAACAGTTAAATAACATTTTAAAATTGTAAGGGTAGTTGAGAAATTGTACAAGTGACAAAAAATATTGAGTTTTATTAAATTATAGTTTGAAGTTTTATTTTCATACAAAATTGTGCATCTATTTTCATTTAGTTAGCAATATAGCAACAATGTTTGCCAGGACACTGCAAGATACTCTCCTCTTTTTTGGATAGTGCTGTGGGATCTTTAACGGCCACTTGAAGAGACAGGACTGCAATTTAACATTTCATTCAAAGCACAGCAGCTCGAATAACGCAGCACACTCCAGCATTGCACTGCAGTGTCAATCTAGCCTACAACCTTCTGACTCAGGGGCGAGCGAGGGTGTTACCAACTGAAGCCAGGCTGACTGACAACAATGATGGAATCAAGGTCAAATAATTTTGGATAAATCTAATATGCAGGTTATATAGTTTAGGGTAATAAATAGATAACAAGGAAATTAAGTTTTTAAAGGCACATGATTAAAATTAAACTTAAACCAGGTCAAATTTTATTTAGAATTATAGCTTTCTATTTTTTCTTCACTGCACATGGAGCACCCGCAGGTGGCCATAATGAAGCCTGCAACACGAAGTAAAAGTGCACAGCACCACCCAGCAATAGAGGGTGAAGACTATACTGTAACTATTCAAAGTCACATGAAGGACTGGATTTGTTTTTATATGGTTTGATTTTACATACAACACCAAATGCCTAGTGAAACCATTTTAAACTGACAAATACCACGAACAACAGAACAAAACTTCTCATATATAAAAGACAAAATCAAGCAACTTGCATTGGTTGGCTTTTTCTTTTTTTCTCCAGATAAGTTAATTTGTCCATATTTTTAAAAAATCCAAACTACTTGCCTGAGCTAGCAAAATATTGGTAATTAAAATGGCTTCAGGGATCAAACCTTGGGACTTTTAGCTTTGTATTGTCTGTGCAATGCTTAGAAAATACTTGAATATAATTGTTTAGAGGCAAGGATGGAGTTGAGTAAGGGAAATAAAGAGACAGTCTGAGATGGCTTAATCAAAGATGACAAGATGCAAAAGCGATTTCAACAGAAGTTGAAGGAGGATAGGGGAGAAAATATGTGCGGGAGTTTTGGATTTGTTGTAGACAATAAGAATTTTGAGGGAGAGACTTAAGGGATGGTAGAGCATGAAGTATTCAGAGGAGTAAAGGAATAGACTAAATTGGGAATTACCAAGAATTACATGGAATGATACAGCATGGAAGGTGAGACAGAAGTTGTCAGCATCTTTTTTTTTAATGTTCAGGCATGGTTAACGAACCGTTTGGTCCAGTCCCAAGTGCTGAAAACAGCTTTGACTGTATTTTTATCCTAATATGTAAAATCAAATTAATGTTCCCTGAAATTGACATACCGCTCTTGCTGTTAAGAAAAGCAAACAAGGTAAAATAAACCGCAGAATTGTGTGAATATTTTATGCAAATATTGCAAATCAGAAAACATAGGCACAGGCAACCTAACAAGTACACGTAATCCAAAAGTCAACAGATGCGGGTAGATTTCCTGATTACATTTGTAACTATTCCACCATTCAAATAAAGGCGTCACAGGATACACTGACCCTTATCCTCAAACTTGCCACAGTTTCTGTGTGCTCTAAGTTCAGCAACTAACTTTATTTTTTAAGATCTTAATGTGGAGTGAGTGGACTAACAAATTTAATGGACTTTCACCCCTAAAATATGGATTACATAATAGAACCATACAAATTTACAGCACAGAAGGCGGCCATTAGGCCAATCTTATCTGTGCCATGTCTTTAAGAGAAATCATTTTAGTCCTATTTACCCGTCTTTTACCCAGACCACTGTAGTTCATACTCCTTTTTAGGTATTTACGTAGTTGTCCTGAGATAGCTAACATGGATTCTGTCTCAACCACAACTCCCAGCAGGTGGTTTATATTCTAACCACTCTGTTTGTGAAAAACATACAGCGACACAGTACAATTTAGCCAAAATCACATATTATCGTGTACAGAAAAAAATATACATATTGGAATTTGTCAAACAAATATGCCATTTAATACCAACAAATTTACTTGAACAAGGCTATAAACACCTCACATTGTTGGTTCCTTAAGTTCTCACTGGCAACTTTAAGTTGAAAAATAACATACGGTATTTGGACAAGGCACATTCCAGAGCAAATAACCTGCTCCACCTTTCTAGGTCTTTTGTGATTTTATTCCCCCCGCCTCGCACTTAGCACCAATTTTCAAAACGTGTCTGAAGATCCATGTCTGACCGTCTCAGCCACCTCCCCTACCCCTCTCATCTCCCTAACTCAATTTTGGATAATTTTACCTACAAAATGCAGTCATACCACTTCACAGTATATTCTGTGAAGCATTTTGAGATGTCTCAATAACATCTCAAATCAACTGCAAGGATCAGCATCATTACCAACTTGAGCTTCCATTCAGTCTCTGTAAAGTGCTAAGACATTCTAATCTTTAAGACGTTCATCCAAAGTGAAAAGACAATTACAAATTTTTATTTATCGTTATAATTTTAGTGCCCAATACTATGTTCCAAAGCTTAAAATGAGAAGCCAATAAAACAAGTTCAGGTGAACTGAGGAGCATTTACAGAGTCTATATAAGTTGGGTAACAATTTCAAACATATGCAAACATATGAAAGAAAGCTTTCCAACAATTAGAATATTCAACCTGTCTGGTTCAAGTCACCAACAGTTTTAAAAAACAAATAGTTCAAGTACTTTCATATTATATTCTATAACCTTTAACAAAGAATATAGATATAAAAAACTAGTCACAATAGAATCCTTATTTTAAATTGACACCACTTGTATAATCTACACCTAAGCTTGAATAACAAAGACTTTGGGTTTCAGATCACTGCATTAAGATTCAGTTCAACAGAATCAACAGAAACACTCAAGAAGTTTAGATTTAAAGGCAGGTTGGAACATTCACACCACTTTGAGAGGAAAATTAGCTTTTTTTGCAATTAGTACTGTAGAAGATTTAACATACAAGCATTTTGTAGTATTATCAAGTCACATAAACTCTTGGAAAAGCTTTTGTTTATTTTCTGTTAAACAATAACTTGCTCTTAGGACTGGGTTGTGACAGAAATGGGTTATTTTATTGACAATCCAGTTTACCTGTGTAACAGTGTTTTTTTCATTTAAGATGCTTGCAAGCAAAAACTGCCACAAAATGCGGGAAATTCTAAATGCTCTATGTTGTATGTTGTAGTTTTTAAGTTTAACTCTCGTCTAACCTTTTCGTAAATAAGTACAGCATCCAGGTATCAACCATCTGGATTTGTGTTTACCTACAAATATGCAGTCACCAACTACACTTTCCTCAAAAGTGCTTTGAGCTCCATTACCAGAGTGTTGATCCACGTTGTGAGTTCAAAATTCAATGGGGTATGCGGCTTGAACCCACAACCTTCAGACTCAAAGAGCGCTACCAATTGAGCTGACATTTGCCAGCAGAAAGATGGGACCATTCACATCGGATTCAATCAGGTGCCCACCAGAGAAAACAGCAGTGAGCACCACGATTTGTAATTTGAAAAAAGTCATCCAAGAGAATTAAAACATACAGTGCTCCTTCAAACAAATGCATTAAAAAACAATTAACAAGGTACATTGAACCTGCTCCGAAATGTCACTATTTTGGCAGCAGGATATGAAATGTTTTCCAAATTGGCGTGGCCTGTAGTGAGGTACCAGTACTCACTGCAGTGAGCACGGTGAAAGCCGCAAAAGGTGCTAACAGAACCGAGAAATCTGGACCAATAAAAGCAATACGGTGCAGTTCTATATAGTAATACACAATTATCCTTGAATATGGTACAGAAGCTTCGAAACGTCCCAAAGCTCTTTCCAGGTAAACACTTTCGGTAATTAGTAATCAGGAACCAGCCCTCCAGGGAGAGAGTTCGCATTCCATCCTAACAGTCTGTCTCTAGAATTTCCGTGTGTAGTAATTGCATTTGATACAGCGACTTAACGTGTCTTCAAGACGTGTCAAAGCGCTTGACAGAATATACTATAAAGTGCAGTGACTGTATATTTTGTGGGCGAAGCAGGGCAGCCAGAGGCACACAGTTATTTATATATGTTGGTGGGTGCATGGAAATGTCCGGCACGGTGCTGGGTCTCCACCCCTGGCTGCTGACCAAGACAAATACATAGAATACCTCACTTCCAAACGTTCCCAGAGCGCTTTCCGAGGCTCGACCCTTGCGTGTAGTGACTGTGCTTTTCGGTGGGCGGAAGCGGCGGGGCTGTTACCTGAGCGTGACCCTGAGGGTGACCAGAGTGCAGACGACGGCGATGGCTCCGCACACGAGCTCGGGTCTCCTCGCCATCTGGCACACCGCATTCCCGGCGTACACGCACTCGCGCTTCAGCAACTTCTGTAGCCTCAGCATCCCTCGCCCGGGGCGGGAGGGGAGGAACCGGGGCGGGCGGGGCTTTTATAACGGGGAGGGTTAGGCGCTGGCTACTCCGTGGGCTTGGCCCCCGCGCTCGCTCGCTCGCTCGCTCTGTGTCTCACGCCGCGAGCCGAGCGAACCCCGCTCCGCCACGTCTCCTCCCCGAGCACTTCCGTTGCCCTAAAACAACAGCAGGAGGGACACGCGAACGAGCGAGCCAGCAGGCGGACCAACCGTCACAGCGCGCGCCGGGCCGCTCCGCGCAGGCGCACAGCGCCTTGGGGACCAACCGTCACAGCGCGCGCCGGGCCGCTCCGCGCAGGCGCACAGCGCCTGGGGGGGGGACCAACCGTCACAGCGCGCGCCGGGCCGCTCCGCGCAGGCGCACAGCGCCTTGGGGGGGGACCTACCGTCACAGGTCGCGACGGACGGACGGACAGCCAGTCCGGCTCCGCGCAGGCGCACAACATCACACGCTCACGCACACGCACCATACCCCTCCCACCAACTCACACGTTTGTAGCCCAAAGTCTCACGCAGCGGTAGCCCAAAAGTAGCCCAATCCTGTGTCATGCCAATATAGGTGAGGGTTTGTTTTAGGAGTGGGGGGAAAAGGTTTAACTTGGGGGAAAAAACTGTTTCCAGAATTTTTTCCGACGTCTTCTTTCGCCGAGCAAATTCTTGCTTTGAGACGTCTAGAAGACGTGAAAAGCGCTATATCAAATGCAAGGATTATTATTATTATTATTATTATTACGCTCTTAAAAAAAAACGAGGGACGCTCAGAGGGTGTTTTATTCCATTATCCCCAAAAATATCTTCCTTACTCCCAGCAGTAAGCAGGAACCCGGACGTTAGACGGTTGGTGGACGGCTTTTCCGGGGTAAAAATCATTTCCAAAGAAATAAATAAAATACTATAATAATAATAATAATAATCCTTGCATTTGATATAGCGCTTTTCACGTCGGGAGGACGTCCCAAAGCGCTTCACAGAACACACTGTAAAGTGAATTAACTGTATATTTGTGGGCGAACGCGGCAGCCAATTGCGCACAGCAATGTCCCACAAACAGTCGTGGATTGAAAATGACCAATTTATTATTGCTTTGTTTTGGAGGGATTATTATTAGGCTCTGTGTGGAGTAAGGAAACTTGCCCAAGGTTTCGCCCTCTGCCTGGAATTGAACTCAGGTCTCTCACTTGCAAAGCGAGTGCTCTAACCACTGAGCTACAGGACTAATTTGTAAATTTGTAATTAGTAAAATACTAATTTGGTCACTCGATCCGCGACTGTTTTGCCCACAAAATATACAGTCAATTCACTTTATAGTAAATTCTGTCAAGCCCTTTGAGGTGTCTCAAAAGTTTTTTCCACGTGGCGGTGGGATGCGTGGAATTCTCAGCTTGGTTTGGATACGCTTTAAGTGCGGCGATGTGTCAGAAACCCGGCTGACCAAAATAAATATGTAACTGTGAGTACTTGAAAGCGCTTTTTTGAGTTTTTTTTTAACTTTTAGGTGCTGCGCTATATGCAAAAATTATTATTTTGTGGTCAGCCAGATGTCTTACACTCACGGCTTAACAAAATACAGTTTTGCCCACAAAATACACAGTCAATCCACTTTACCATATATTTCGTACCTAATTCCGGAGAGAACTCGGAACGATATTTGCGGGTTGCTAAAGTGTTCGTGGGGCTAATTGTCGGAGTTTAATAATCCCTTCAAAAATAAAAAAGAAATAATAACTGTGGTCACCCAATCCATGACTGTTTGAGGGGACGCTGCTGTGGGCAATTGGCTGCTGCGTTTCGCCCGCAAAATATACAGTCAATTCACGTTACAGTATATTCTGTGAAATGCTTTGAGACGTCTCAATAACGTGTTAAGGCGCAATATCAAATGCAAGGATTATTATTATTAACTATATTGGAATAGCTTCCTGCTGCTGTCCAGATCAATCGACCCCACCTGTAGGGCTTTAGCATACAAAAGGCGCTTAGTGAGAAGAACCCCTGTCCCAGTGATTGATTGCCTCCCAAATACCAGTCCGGTTGGTCTGTCACCAGCGATGCCTTGGAGCAACACAGAGCCGCCTGCACTTAAGCTTAGTTAAGGATGATTATCAATGGACATTTTGGACAAACCCACTCTCAAGGTAAGCTTCTCATTGATTGTTTTGTGAAGGATCGACACGCAATTGACTGATACAAAGGAGCATTTCGAGAATGTTCTCATGGGAGACTGGTCTCAAATTTAAGTATTGACAAATTTCACTTCATTTCCAGGAACGAATGCACGTTTTTTTAAATTTTTTTTACATGAATAATGCTCATTCCAATCACTTTCTCTCTCAAAATGTATTATGAGAGGCTATCTGCTTGAAGGGCCCTATAATAAATGCACGTTGTTGTTATTAACTCCCCATGACCCGAAGTTGGCAAATTCATTTCCTAAACAAATATCAATCTTATTGATAAACCCGTGTAGTGGGACTTGTATTAACGCCTGCCTAGGCATTGGGATAGTGCAATATCCTCAATCCACTAAAACAAATCCCAAACCACAATTTTAAACGCAAATTAAAGCAGCCGTCTCTGACGGCATTTAGAAAGGAAACTGTAAAATGGCAAAAGGTAAGAATAAGGAGCAATAGAACATCTTTTATGGAGTCAAAAAGGAATTCAGTTTCTGGCTACAAGATGTCAGTTCTTCAGCTTTACTCTAACGTTTGACGAGGGTGGGAGGGGAGGGATGCCAAATGTGCACAACAACATCCCACAAACAGCTTTGAAACGAAAGGCTAATTTTATTTGGGGGGTGGGGTTGTTCGCCAGATGTTATTCTTAACTTTTTTGACGAGACTGAATTAAAAAAAGAATGAACTTTAAATTTCAGCTCATAACCCCACCCCTCCAAATCTGCACAAGTCGCATAGTCATAGGAAGGACTCAGATAAAAATGTTAATTATTTTAAGATTCCTTCAGTTGTTATTGGCACCACAACGGAAGATAGCGCAGGAGAAGGAGCTGTTCCCACAGGTCAATGTGCAATTGGCTCAAATGAAACAAGGAGGAATTTCTTTTTCCTGTTGTCAGCGTTCACTTGCTCTCGAGACAGGGTTAGCAGCAGTATTAAGTACACAGCTCTGCTGACATTCTCAAGCACAACGAGCATGGCTTGGGAATTTGGAAATAAAGCTAACCAGACATGGACAATTTCTAGGACATGGAGCTTTTAAAACCAATAGAGGGATATGTTTAAGCGCTCTGAGATGCCGTCCGGCATGGAGGGCGCTATATAAATCCAAGTTATTGTTGTTGTTCGCCCACAAAAAATACAGGCACACCACTTTACAGAATATCCACCATTCACCTAGTGATGAAAAGAGGATAAAATGTATAATAGATCTTGTGTAAATACGGCAGATGGCAGCATTTGCTGTTGAGCAGTGAACATTGTATACATGTGGAAGGTGACATTAAAAGTACCATCAGCCTACAGAGGTTATACAACCCTGACAACGTGTATGGTTGGTTCACGTGATAGATAATTGAAGCACGTACACGGTGTTGCCACATAGCCTTATACAGTGGTCTTACTCAAGGTCTTTACACAAAGTCTTAGACATTCCAACCCTTTTCCAGACTAGAAGAGATGATTATTAAAACCAGATGGGACCACTCTTCAGGGTCAGGTAAGATCACATGACTCTGATATGACTATGTGAAATTATAGCAAACAAAGAAAAACTGTTAATTGCTATGATTGGATGTGAAAATGCTGCAGAATTGTCACGGGTCATGGTAACAAATAATCATTTGTTGTAAAATGCCACATAATCTGTTAAGAAAAAGAATATAACCCTTTGATTTTATACATTCTTTGGAAGTACCATCTCGGGTGACTTGGGAACCTGATTGGGAGCTTCCCCTTTCCGGTAAGTTTGTAATAAAGCTTGTAATAAAGCTCGTAATAAAACCTGTACTGATTACTGTTCATTGTTGTGTGGTCTATGGTTTTTATTCCACAACATACACAGACTGAAAGGATGAATTTCTATTCAGTGGTGAAGTGTTCTTCAGTATCTTGTGAATTTTGTTTGTCATATCCTTGTTGGGTTATCTCTCAGCTCATGTTTCACTTTATTCAAGTCCCACCATACACAGTCTGATCTTTTTAAATACTTCCAGCCTTATTGCTTTGTTAGTTTCTATCCCGGTTTTTTAAACTAATAGAAACTAATTTAAATATATGCGCATTTTGGGTGACTTCTGATGAGTCAATCAATGAACGTTTCAGAGTTGAAAGATTTGTTTTAAGTCTGTCTGGAGTCCTGTAGCTCAGTGGTTAGAGCACTCGCTTTGCAAGTGAGAGACCTGAGTTCAATCCCAGGCAGAGGGCGAAACCTTGGGCAAGTTTCCTTACTCCACACAGAGCCTAATAATAATCCCTCCAAAACCAAAAACAATAATAAATTGGTCATTTTCAATCTACGACTGTTTGTGGGACATTGCTGTGCGCAATTGGCTGCCGCGTTCGCCCACAAATATACAGTCAATTCACTTTACAGTGTGTTCTGTGAAGCGCTTTGGGACGTCCTCCCGACGTGAAAAGCGCTATATCAAATGCAAGGATTATTATTATTATTAAATATAGGAAAGGATAGAGCCACATTAGTACATTTATTGGGAGCAAAGTAGCACAAGAGAAATGTTGTTAAATGAAGCCACATTACAATAGGTGTCTAACACCTTGTTGAACACTATTTACAGCAGCCAATGCACTAACAAAAGCTCCCATACTTACAGAAACCTTAGACATAATAAATGTCATACCAAATATAGAAAAAGTTACCTGCAGCTAAAATAAACATTACCGTTTAAATGACTCCAACAACAAATAATGTAAACGGTTTCATATCCTTTATTAATGACAATATTGGTCCATACAATTTTTGCCAACTGGCAATACATATGATTTTTAAAGAAATCAACATTTAAATAGCAAGCAACAGACAACAGAAAAAAAACAATGTTTTTGTCTTTTCACTGTGTTCTTTAACACCTGATAAAAGGAGCACATAATTAAGAAACGTAGAGAAGAAACTTAACCCCAATCATCTTATATAAAGATGAATGTTGATGGATAATGCTTAAAACATTATTTTAGAAACAGTTATCAAAAAAGTGCCCAATTGTTCTGACACATTCAGCGATGGCAACTAGCATCGTGAGCTGTGCCACTTAATCTTTATCAAAACTGATTGATCATAGTATTGAAACTTGGTTCCTCTGCTTACTTATTAAAATACTCCAAAACGTTTACAAATTCCGTGAAACCCTCAAAACCCTGCTTGCATACAAATCCAAAAATCTCCCTCAAGTCCCAAGTGGCTCTGAAAATGTATTCCTATGACAGTATAGAGAATATCAAAAAAAAAGGATTTGATCTTCACACTTCAATAAACGTCCATTATTCTTTACGTCGCCTTGTTACCTTCAAAGCAATCGGCTGCGACAATGCATCACAAAGTGGGGTGCTATTAGCTGCTGCGTTATCAAATATTACAACAAACTGCATAGTGTTTATGCCCCCACTTTATGCTGCTATCGCAAGACCGTAGCAGTTTTTAACTGAACAAAAGTAAGGCAGGAAGACAATTCAAAGAATTTCCACCACCCGCCTATCAAATTTCGGTTTTGTTTAAGAGTCAATTTCTACCAGTAACACCTTATTTTGGAAACATGAACATATCTTGGTTATTAAATTAATTTAAATCTTTAATCAAAAAATCAAATTTGCCAAAATCATTATCATTTGGAGCAATCAGATGGTCCTTTCTGGCCTTGGCTAGTTTCTGCTTTAGAACTTCTCTTCGGTCCATCCATTCCTGCATCTCTGCTTTACTATGGGCAAAATGGCAGTTCTCTCCATCCACACACGTACCCTTCAGATGCCTATAATAAAAATACTCATTACACCAACTGTGCCTCTCAACACAACAATAATAACAATAATCATAATCCTTGCATTTGATGTAGTGCCTTATCACGTCGTTGAGTCGTCTCAAAGTGCTTCATAGAATATACTGTAAAGTGAATTGACTGTATATTTTGTGGGCGAAACAAAATATTGTGCCAATTGTGTCAGCAGTGTCCCCACATACAGCCGTGGATTAAGTGACTTTTTTTTTGAAGGGATTATTACCCCCGCAAAGCGATCTGCCAAAGTGAAAGATATTTTAGACAAACAACCAGATTCCTACTTACTGTTAGGCAAAGAAAGGTGTGTGAATAAGGAAACTTGCCTGAGGTTTCACCCCACCGGGGAATCGAACCCAGGTCCTCTCGCTTGCGAGGCGAGTGCTCTAACCAATATCCTACAGGACTCCACAGATGGCACATATTCTGATGCACAGACACACACCCCTAATGTGAAGACTGTGACTCTGCGCAACAAATGAAGCAGGACCATTCTGCTGCTTATGAATTCTAAACATTCGTACCTTTCACAAATACTGAACTGTCCTGTAGGAAAGCGATGCTGCCAGCAATTCTGGTCATCCTCACAGCTAAAAACTTTCTCTTTATGTTTCTCCGCGGTGATGTGCCGCTGCCACTGTATTTCACTGTTAGAGTTCTTCCCACACAGCCAGCAGTGATAGCCGGTCTTTGACGAAAGAGAAAGAGAAGAAAGAGAAAACATTTTCCACTTAAAAACATTCAACAATAAAGGGCATCAGATGAAGATAGGACAATCTTCCACTACAGCGCTGTGAGATGATCCCAATATCAAAGCTGTTATATAAATGTAAATTCCTTTGTGTGCTGTATTTCTCCATTAAAAAATTTAATTTTTAAAAAATAATGATTACATTTCCGCTGATGACACTTCCTTCTGGATGATGGAAAAGCACAGCCAGTAAATCAGTGATACCTGAACCAGGAAGGGCTGCTAATGTGTTGTGGGCACCAATAGAAACTGTGTGTCATCTGTACATTGTACACACTGTTTACGAGTAAACTCATCAGTGACACTCCAGAGTTATGTACCACCTCAGGAATTAACAATTAATAATCCTTGCATCCGATATAGTGCCTTAGCACATCAATGAAACCCACACTATGCTTAAGAGCATCCAAACTGGGCAGTTTCACATATTTCCATTTCCACATGGAAATCTCCCCATGTCTGGAATGGAATGCACACTCTCTCCCCGGAGTGACGCATCCTGGTAACCTAAATCCAGAGTATTAGGCACAGGTTGGCAAGAGCTAAAATGCTTGTGCGAGCTGGGGTAACTACTCCTAAATGCTCGTGTCTAATCAGTTTTAGCTGATTATAATAATATAATTCTTGCATTTGGTGCAGTGCCTTACCTCGTCAGAAGGATATCTTAAAGCGCTTTACTTTACGATTTGCCATGAAATGGAGCGATTGTGTATTGTGTAGGTAAATGCGACAACACAATTGTGCACAGCAATGTCCTACAAACAGCGATGAAACGAATGACCAATTTTATTTTGGGGTTTGTTGGCCACGACACTGAAAGAGAAACTGCCTTCTCTTCTCAAATAATGCCATGGGATCTTTAATGTGCACCTGAACAGGCAGACGGGATCTGTTTAATGTCTCAATCGTAGGAAGGCACCTCCGAAAATGCATTCTCCTGCCCCACAGGATTGCATAGGAGTGAGTGTCAGCTTAGACCATGTGAGTTTGTGTTCCGACGTGGGACTCAAACCCACAACAGTCTGACTCAGAGGCAAGAGCGCTACACCTGAGTTAGCAGAATAGAAGACAAACATCGCAATGTTAAATTCCTGGAAGTTTTTTCCCTAGGCCAGCGAGTCCAGAATTTATTGCATTTTTAAAATAATGAAATAGACATGGCTTATGAATGTAGAAATCGGCTCCTGGCCCTTGCAGTTAATGACTTACCATGAGATCTGCATAGTCAGTGGGCATGTGGATTTGTTTACCATTCTCCTTTGGTGCACATGCTGCCTCCTCTCTCTCTGGCTCCTGACGTTTTAGCCACATCTCATACAGCTGTTCCATGTCTTGGACTGGTGAAAAATTCAAACAATCAGAAGGTTAAAAGCGGAGTTTGGTCACAAAGAAGATACCAATGGTATGCATTTCTGTATAATAACAATCCTTACATTTGAAACACGGTCTTTCGTGTCGGGAGGATGTCTCAAATAGCTTCACAAGATAGACTGTAAAATGTAGCGACTATGTATTTTGTAGGCGGACATGGCAGTTGATTTGCACACACTGCAATGATTGTAAATCCACAACACTGGCGTAGTAAGTAACTCCTTTATTCTCCAACTCCAACCATAAACTCACACCAGTTCTCCTAGAATCCTTTTATATACTCCCTCATCTTCTTTCATTCCCAATTAATTGTCTATTTCTTCTTGAAGGGTTATCCAACACACAGCAATGTCCCACAAAGAGGCATGAAGTGAAAGACTAATTTTATCTGGGGAAATGTTGGCCAGGATAGTGGGAAAAACTCCCTTCTTTTTTCAAACAGTGTCATGGGATGTTTAAAGTCCACCTGAACAGCCGGACACAACCTTTGTTTAATATTTCATCCGATGGACGACCCCTTCAACAACGCAGTACATCCAGCGCTGCACTGGATTGGCAGCCTTGACTACGTCAGCTGAAATTTCTGAAACTCATAAGTTTCATATGTGCTTAAACTCATAAGTGCCACTGACTGAGCCAGGCTGACACTATTACATTATTAAATGTACACCAACTCACTGTTAAAGTAAATAGACGCATTGTGGACGCATTGTGGACAGCAAACCCCAGAATGTCCTGCTCTCCCGCTATCTCGAGATGACTTAATGCTTTGGTTTACACTGTATTAGCAAATGGGCCCTGGCAGGATGGGGAATGGAGGGCCTACGTGGGAACATAGGTTTGTAGGAGCGAGCTGTTGGTAACAAGTGGATATCCAACTTGTTTGCAGATGAGACTCAGTGTTCCCTTTGTCTCAGACAACACTAAATAGCCATCACGATCAGACTGACACAAAACGGGTACAAGGCTGCAGAGCGACACTTTCATACAAAGAATCAACGGTTAGTACAAATGTGACTGTTTGAATTCATGAATCGCTGCTTTCAAAAGGTAAGTTGCTGCCTTGTGACTTACTGTTAATGTCTTTCATATAGGTCCACATCTCTTTTTCTTCATGGCTGTGAGCAAAGAAGCAGTTCCCGGTGTATTGGCATTTCTTCCCTTTGGCTATATTCATGCACAGCTGGTGAGAGACAGAAACAAAAAGATGTTGAATATGGCCCACAGGATTTCACCTTCAGACTGGGATTCTCTCAAGGAACTCACATCAAATTGCTGTGGAATTGGTTTCTTTGATGGCAAAGGCCGGATTGTTGTCCATTTCTTCCGTTCGTTAGACATCACCAGCAGTACACGGCGTTCTTTGGTCCATCTTTAAACAGTAGGAAAATAAAAACATACAGGGCAACCCTGACATATTATGGATATGTATTCCTTATTCTTTAAGATCACAAAGAAATCCAATTTCAAAAAACATCCTAAATATTAGGATATTCTCTTCGATCGTGCCTTTGGTCGCCCTCCCACCTCCCTGCCTTCCCTCAGCCCTACACCACCCCTCTCCCATGCTCAGGCCCCGACACCTTACTGTTCAGCGCTTTGGGACGTCCTCCCGACGTGAAAGGCGCTATGTAAATGTAATTTTATTGTTGTTGTTGTTGTTCTTATGCTCGACTTCCCATCAGCACCTCCCAAATTCAGGAGATGAGGGGATTGAAAGTAAAACAGCCACTGCTATCCTGCAGCTCTTGCTAGATGTGTAGTGGGTGAACGTCAAACGAGGATGTAATGAGGCTTTGTTTGCTGCAATGGCTTTTGTGGGTCGCAGACCTTTCAATATTCACTGCCGAGTTTTGCACATCTACATTGAGCAGCACGGAGCTACCACATTGGAAACCAACATTCCACAACAGAGGACAGGAGAGATTTAGTGAAGAAAACATACATTGTTTATACAGTCAATTCACTTTACAGTCTATTCTGTGAAGTGCTTTGAGACGTCTAGAAGACGTGAAAAGCACTGTATCAAATGCAAGGATTATTATTATTATTGTTTAGTACAGCACCTATGAAAACACATTTATTGCATAATTTTTTGTCTCTGGTAATATGTATTGTCAGGTGTTTTAGTTAATACAGCATGGTCAAGATCACTTTAGTAATATTAAGCCCACATCCAATGTCTAAATGACCGAGTTTAAGAAGGTTGAGGTGATTACTCACGGGTGACTTGCTTTAGCACTGCAGTATTTTCTGTTCTTATCCGGCTCACTAAACTGCCCATTCCTGTGGCAGTGTGCACACACGAACTTCAGGTTTAAATTGAGGCTCCCAGATTTCACTGTGCCCGGAGGTATCTTTAAAGAGAACAACAGATCACTGACCAATTTTCCCCAGGTATTCAGGTAGTGCAATCTCATTCTGCCGCTGCTCTGAGCGGCAAGATGCAAGCTTCAATGAGACAGAGACAGATAGGAGCAGGTTTTTCAATTGGTGTTGAGCAATAATAGATCTTGACACCTTTATTGGAATTGTGCTGGACTAATACTGGAATAAAAAGCTCTCCCTGGCTTCTGCCATCATTTTACACCAATACATATTATGACACCTTGGTTTAAAATCTGCGTTTTTAAACAAAGATGTGATCATTGCATTGAGTTGGAAGAATGGATGCAGATGACCTCAACTCCCCAGCTTGTGCTAACCAACCCAGAGGCACCATCACTACCACCGCAACTCAGATATCACAGGATTTCAACACTTGGCACTAACTACCCTATTCTAAGATATACATTACATTTTTATAAGGTATAAAAATATTACTCACAAAATATACAATCAATTCACTTTGTAGTATATTCTGTGGGCGCTTTGAGATGTCTCAACAACTTGATAAAGCGTTATATCAAATGCAAGGATTATTATTATTATTATAACATGCCAGAGTGCTGTGGACCTGCACATACCCTCGTTAAGATGTCTCAAAGTGCTTCACAGGATATCCTGTAAACTGGATTGTTCATTTTGTGGCCGAAACGTGGCAACCAATTGCAAACAGCAATGTCCCAGAACAGCCATGGAGTGAGTGATCAATTTTACTTGGGGGATTTGTTGGCCAAGACACTGGAAGAAATTCCCTTCCCTTTTCAACTAGTACCATGGGATCTTTAATGTCCACTGACAGGACCAAGGTTTAATGTCTCATCCGAAGGACGGCATCTCGACAATGTGACACCCCCCATCCTGCACTGAAACATGGAAACATACTGCAGTGGGTATCATAACTGGCATCAATTCCTGACGTACAGATACCTGGTCTGACATGCAAGCCGTGTGCCTCTGGGCAATAAATGACACCAGCAGATATAACTGAATTTCAAAAGTCCAAGATCTGCAACAAGGCAAACACTTGAGTATCCTCAGACTGGCAAATGAAAGTGACCCTGAGAGAATCAGCAATGTAAATGCATTACTGGTCATCTGCTTTTTCAACGATTCCAACAGATCAAGGACAGAGGGCCCAGCACACTGCGACTATGTCAACGTCAGCTGAAGTGTAGTTTCAGGACTGAATTGCAAAACACAAGTTTTTGTGCCTTAATTTTTTTTATGGCCAGCTGGATGTCAAACATATTTGGAAACTATTGCCAAAAAACAATAATAATGTGGTCACTCAATCCACCGCTGTTTCTGGGACACTGCTGTGCACAATTGGCTGCTGCGTTTTGCACACAAAATATACAGTCAATTCACTTTACAGTCTATTCTGTGCAGCATTTTGAGATGTCTAGAAGATGTGAAAAGCTCGATTTCAAATGCAAGGATTATTATTATTATTATTAAGAATATCCACACCAGACAGAGTTCCACATGCGTTTGCCACCGACACATGTAAATTCCCACGTCTGGAATAATAATAACCTTTGTATTTGATATAACACCCTATCAGGTCATCGAGACGTCTCAACCCGCTTCACAGATGTACTGTACAATGGATTGACTGTGTAATTTGTGGGTGAATCTGTACTCCCTGAAGGGACGCACCCTGCTGACCCAATTCTGGGGCGTATTAGGTGCAGATGGAAAGAGTAAAAGACTTGGGAAACCCACAGTGTGCATTGGGGTACATGCTGGAGTTTATTCAAACTTAAATTGCATAGATTGCTGTTGAAAGCAAACTTTCCTGCTGCTTGTCCAGCTGGGAGTATCCTCCCCGGGAGGGCATTGGCTAAAAGGAGAATCCAGTCTGCCCCTACTCGTCACTGGGGCAGGCTGTTCGGTTACTCAGTACATCCAAATGAAAGAGCGAGCTATTAGATAAAGATTAATACCTGTCCTCCCTGGGAACTCGCTTCCATGCTCTGTAAATACTTCTTTGATTCCTGAGTTATTGCTTCATGAGAAATATCTGGTAACACAAACAGGTACATTTCAGCCTTTTAAGACAATGACACAAACTGCAAAGTTTTGTAAAAAGGATAAAACTATTTTCATGCAACTCCCACGTCTCCAAACATTAAATCTAACACTGAACCCAATTCAAAATAGTCCGACATTCTCAGATCCCTCAGAATATACATTCATATCATAGATATATCCTAAGAGATCACCCACAATGCATTACAACCACTGAACCTTATCCTGTGAAGTGCTCAGAGATATCTTCCCAATGTAAAAGGTGTGGTATCAAATATGGATTATTATTATTATATTTTAGCAAATCGCTGGTACAGACTTTAGTAGACTGTTATGAAGGGAGGGGAGATGTGGTAGAGGTGAAGTCTCCCTTTGCAAGATAATTCGTAAAGAATCCATTGACCAGATTGAATGGCACCTCTGTAACACAATATAACACATACACACAGTGTAACACACACACACACACACACAATGTAATGCACACACAGTGTAAAACACACACACACACACACAGTACACACACACTCTTTCTGATTTATATGTTCCCCATGGGATGTCATCCGGGTACACTTCCACATGTATGCAGACGAAACCCAACTCTATTTTTCAGCTGCCTGTCAGACCTCAGGGGCTGGATGAGCGCAAACTACCTTCAGCTGAACGTTGACAAGACGGAAGCCATACTCTTTGGCTCTCGTCAACCTCTGAAATCTCACGGCTCTCACCTCCTCCACCTACCCAACCTCCCCCTAACACTCTCCGAACCCGTACGCAACCTAGGGGTCAGGTTCGACCCCCAATTATCCTTCCTCCCCCACATCCGGTCCCTCACCAGCACTGCCTTCTACCACCATTGCCCGTCTCCGCCAATACCTCACTCCAAAAGCCGCTGAAACCCTGGTCCATACCTTTGTCACCTCTCGGCTGGACTACTCTAATGCCCTCCTCGCCAGCCTCCTCTCCACTACCATCCACAAAATCCAAATCATTCAGAACTCTGCCGCCCGCATTCTCACCCGCACGAAACTCCGCTCCCCGATCCCCCCAGTCCTGGCCAGACTGCACCGGCTGCCTGTCCCGGAGAGGATCGATTTCAAAATCCTCACCCTTGTATTCAAGTCCCTGCACTCCTCTGCACCCCCCGACTTCTCTGACCCCCTTTCTCCCCAAAACAGTGGCCGCTGCCTTCATTCCTCTGGGTCTGGCCTCCTCCTTGTCCCCTGAGTTCTCCGCTCCTTCCTCGGCGGCCGTGCCTTCAGCCACTATGCCCCGAGGCTCTGGAACTGCCTTCCTCACTCCCTTCCCCTCGCTCCCTCCCTTCCTATTTTCAGGTCTCTGCTGAAGACCTTTCTTTTCGACCGCACCTTTGGTCACCTTCCCCCCCCTCCCCCTGTCTCCTCCCCCTCCCCCCGGCTCGGTCCCGGGATCTTTAACTGTGAAGCGCTCTGAGACGCCGTCCAGTGTGGAGGGAGATATATCAATCCAAGTTGTTGTTGTATAACACACACACAAAAACAATGTAACACACACACACGCACACAAACAGTGCTCTGTAATGCAAATTATTTATATCAAATGGATAAAAGCTCATCTTTGAGTAGTTACGAATATCATTTGAACCCCATGAACATGTTGCAGTCCTGCAAAACACTCCGGCCTTTTCATCAATGTCAACAGATCTAAGTCCTTTGTGCTTGGCTGGCAAACACATATTCCTGTTGCAGTTTGCATTGCTGCCAAAACCTCCCTTAATGGCTGAGTTTTGTAATGCAGCTGTGTGTCATATAGCATAGGCAACAGAGCGGAGATTATATCTTTGTCACAGAACCTACTTGTTTGTAGTTGCATTATCCAGACTTTCAGTTCTATCAAACTATGTGCATAGAAACAGTTATCTTCTTTTATACAGCCAAAGCGCACTTCATGGCAACACAGGTCAAGCTGACGGGTATCATCAAGATGATGGATTTTAGAGTATTTCACGGTTGTCTCACGTAGTATATGAACGAGGCATCTGTTTAAAACAAGCAAGCAACAAGGTTAGAGATCCGGTGTTGCACTTATTTTTTTTGGTCTGATCCGTGCGGAAACCCATCCTCGTGCTTAAGAGTAGCCAAACCAAAATGAGAATTCCACGCACTCCACCTACACATGGAAATCCCAGAGTTAGATTGTTGGAATGGAATGCGCTCTCTCTCCCGGGAGGGACGCTTCCTGCTTACCTAATTCCAGCAAGAATTACACACAAGTTGGTAGGAGCCAAGGCTTGGGGACCCCAGAGTGTGCATTAGGATCTGCTGGAATCTGACCAGCTAAAACCGCATAGTATGCCATTCATATTGCAGTCTGGCAAGCCTTCCCGCAGCTTGTCCAGCTAATAAAACTCTACCCATTAGGGCTGTGGTTTGCAGGGGTAACTGGAGTTGAATGGAATGATTCCCTGCCCCCAGTAACTGGCCTGCCCTTCCAAGTCCTGCTAGGTTGGCGGTGCTGTCATCAGCAGTGCCCTGAAATACTGTGTACCAGCTCAGTTGCAGGTGCAAGCCTTGTTCAGCTGTTAGCACACTCGTAGGGTGTGGGTTCAAGTCCTACAACAATAAATTACATTTCTATATCGCCTTTCACATTGGAAGGACATCCCAAAGCGCTGGAGAGTCAAAAGTTTGTACCCAAATTGCAGGTTGGAATCAAGGGGGGTGGGTTACTGAACGCACGGACAAAGAGGAAGATCAACAACAACTTGCATTTATAATCGTGCCCGTCACGAGTGAGAGGCTCAGTGCACTTAAACAATGGCGGAGTTTGACACCAAGCCAGGTGACTGTAGTCACTGCCAAAGAGGGGACAAGACAGAGGAACTGAGGCAGGGAATATCAGAGGGTTGGGGCACAGTGGCTGAAAGCACGGCCACCAATGGTGGAGCAGAGGGCTCGAGTGAGGGAGGAGTTGGGTATGAACAGGTTGGAGAGGCAGGGAGGTGCCAGGAAATTAAGTCATCTGCGGGTGAGTGTGAGGATCTTAAAATGGATTATTTCCGCAACAGGAGCCAGTGGAGGCTGGCAAGGACTGTATATAATATATATATATATAAAAAAAATGTTTATTTTGAAGCAAAAAAAGCTGTGGTTGGTCACAGCCGTGATGACGAGGGCAGCACAATGCACTTACTTGTTATGGTCAAAGATATGCTTGGCATCAGGATTGGAACAGCACTCAGGATTATCCTTATTCCTTTTGTTTATCATTCTGGGCTTGTTATCAAAACAGATCTAAAATTAAACAAAAGACAGTAAGTCCAAGAAACCGAAAGCAATGGTCTTTGGAATGCCATCCCACAGTCCCTTCGCCTCACTCCCCCTCAAAACAATCTCTTCGACCGGGCCTTCAATCACCTTTCTACCCACCCTCTCTGCCCTGCAGCCCTCCTGATCCCAACTCCCAGCTCGAGTGCCAATCCTCGATTGTCCAACACGTAAAATCATTTTGCTTAAATGAAAGCCCCAATGGATCAGCAGAGGCTCAGACATAGTGAGTTGGAAGTTAACGAGCCTGACATTCAGAGGAAGAAAAGACAACAACAGTGGAGTTCAATTAGCAACCGGCGAGTAAGTTAATAATAATAATAATCCTTGCATTTGATACAGTGCCTTATCACATCTTCGAGACGTAAAAGGAATTGACTATATTTTGTGGGCGAAATGCAGCAGCCAATTGCGCACAGTAGTGTCCCACAAACAGTCGTGGATTAAAGTGGCCCACATTTTTTTAAAGGAGTTATTACCCCTGGAAAAGTGATCCACTAATCGACTAACAACCGGGTTCCTACTTATTGCTAGGTAAACAGAGGCGTGTAAAGTAAGGAAACTTGCCCAACGTTTCACCCTATCGGGAATCAAACACCTGTCTCTCGCTTGCAAGGCGAGTGCTCGAACCACTGAGCTACAGGACTCCACATAGTCCTATATGAGTTACAGTCATTTGCCCACCAATGGCTCATCCATGCCTGGTCACTCAGCTCGCTCGCACTGTCAGGATCAATGTCTCCACCAAGCAAGTATCTCTGATGAGGTTACAGTATAAATAATGCTGAAAATAATTTCTAAGAAATCACAAGGTTACAAGATTGGTTCGGATGAAGAAAGCCCTTCGGCCCGTCTGAGAACTGATAAATCAGTGTCCCCAGGTCAGGGGCCCAGATAGAATTGTCAAGCGCTTTGAGATGTCCTCCTGAGGTGACAGGTGCCATATACAAGTGTATTGTGTAGAGTGGGAACTCCAGTGGGGAAACAGGACAACACAGGCACAATGAGCAAAACAGCTGTCTTCTATGCTGAGATTTCCATCATGCTATAACTTGAGTCCCAAATACTTTGTTTTGAAGCAACATTAGCAGCATATCTAATGTTCGTTTGCAGCGAAAGAATAGTTTAAATGCTGCATTTCACTTACCTCACAGAGAAACATAAATATGCCATGGTGTTCTTGTAGAAGTTTGGCTACGGTCAAATTGACTTTCCCACTACTCCCAAAAGGATCGAACAGCAGCTCACGATTAAATGCTCCTTTGCGTTCTAGGGTCCATATATCTATCTCTTCTTGGCAATACGCAAAGGTGCAGTGACCAGGGTATCTACACTCTTCTCCTGCGGCAACATCTAAGAATGAAACAACAGAACTCAAAACTAGTTTTACACATTTAGCCATGATCACTACAATGCTACTTGACAGTCATGTGTTAACAGTAACACACATCAAATTCAGGCAGAAGGCCATTGAACCATCTCTCCTGTCATTCTAACTCCCTATACGATTCCTTTGAACATCTCTTTCAATCATCTAATAACCCTGAAAGCCATTTTAGTGTCCAGGAGTTATTCGAGTTCCTTTCTGAAACCCTTCTAATTCCTTTTCTCCACCACCTGGGCTGACAGTTTGTTTCATGTTGCTTGTGCTTGTGAACTCCCTGGGAGCTTAGACATTAACAACTGTGATTGCAGGTTCAAACATTAATAGCAGCTCTCTTCTCAATCCACTGTACAACACATCTCACCGCTGACACAAACTGACAGATACTCATTTCTGAACCTCAGATTTGCTCTGAGGGCCAGCACAGACTCGATGGGCTGAAATAAGCTCCTTCTGCGTTGTGAAATTCTGTACCTCTATGAACCGAAAATAAACTTTCATCTGAACCAACAACATCTGTGTTGGAAGTTACATAGTTCTCATCTTTTTTTCTAAGCCGTGTCCTAACTTCCAACAACCTAGAATCATAGAATCTTACAGCACAGGAGGAGGCTATTCAGCCCGTCGTGCCTGTACCGGCTCTTTGAAAGAGCCACCCAACTAGTCCCACTCGCCCGCTCTTTCCCCACAGCCTTGCAAATTTTTCCTTTTCAAGTAAATATTCGATTCCCTTTTGATTGAACATCTCTATTAAATCTCCCCTTAACCTTCTCTGCTCTAAGGAGAACAAACCCACTTCTCTAGTCTCTCCACATAACTGAAATCCCTCATCCCTGGTATCATTTTGGTAAATCTTCTTTGCATCCTCTCCAACGCCTTGACATCCTTCTTAAAGTGTGGTGCCCAGAATTGGGCACAATCTCCAGCTGAGACCTCTCACCTTTACATATGTAATATGGTCCCACATACTGATTCTTGGTTGGTCTCGGTCGTATCTTCTTCCATGACCTGTCTTCAGAGTTTTTCAATCTACAGATTAAAATATCCTTCTTACACTTATGTTCTCCGTCTCCACCGTAAGTGCAAGTCAACATTTTGGGATCTGAAAATCATGAACATTGTGAAATTATTATAAATATAACAATAATTGTTGCTTTTGACATTATATCTCATCATGCCGTCAATACGTCTCAAAGTATCTCACAGAATATACTGTAAGGTGGTGAGACTGGGTGTATTTTGCAAGCCAATTTGCACAAGCAACATCCCACAAGCAGCCACGGAGTGACCAGTTTTACTTGGGGGCTTGTTGGCCAGGACATAAGGATAAACTCCTTTCTCTCCATTCGAATAGCTCCATGGGACATTTAACGTCCACCTGGACAGGCAGGCAGGACCTCGGTTTAACGAGCCATCCGAAGGACGGCACCTCTGACAATGCTGGACACACCCAGCACTGTACTGGAATGGAACATCAGCAGACTACATGGGTTGCAAGTCCTGATACGGAGGTTGAACACACAACATTCTGACGGGAGGCGGGAATGCTACCAACTGAGTCTGACACACGCAAGCTGATTGTACTCGGCATTTTCACAAAGTATCACTTGTGAGAAACCATGGTTAGAAAGGTCCTTAAGCATCGACCTCCCTCCAAAGTTTTAGTGAACGTTAAACAAACACTCTTGAATAAGACCAGGTAGATTACATTACTGAAACGCCATTCGTTTTTCGTATGCAAAGAGGCCACGGCAGTCCAAATTCTTCACATGTGTCACAGCTGCAAGTGTTTCCACTTTCAGAACAGATTTTTCATGGTCACAGTTCAATACATTTAGACGCTGAGGACAGGCCCCACGACAGCAAATATGAGATATGCAACACAAACAAGCAGAGGTTCTGTAAATCATACACAAAGTGTTTGAACGGAGACGGACGATGGCAGATTGCAGGTGAGGAAAGGTTTAACGAGTTTAACAAGGTATAGGATCCTGACCTATAAACAAACCAAACCTCATGTAAGAAATGCCTCTCAATTGCACTGTGAGATGCTACTCACGTGAAGGGGCTACGTAAATGCAAGCTGTTGTTGTATTGCAGAAATGATAATGAGACTTAACTATTTTGTGTTCTACATTGCTGCTCTCTATTGAGATCCAACAGGAACTGGTATCATTGCTCTGCTGGCTCTGGCCTCTGGTTTGTCCCCCATCCCCTCCACCATCAGTGGCCCCGATTTCAGCCACTCCTCCCCAAAGCTTTGGAACTCTCTTCCCCAATCCCTCTGCCTTCCTTCCCCTCTTTTAGATCATAACTGAAGACCTTCCTTTTTGATTGCACTTAACAGTCACCTCATCCCTCCCTTCCCCCAGCTCGGAATCAGGTTCCGTCATCGGTAAGTGCACGAGACAATGCCCGTGTGAAGGGCACAATATGAATGCAAGTTGTTGTTGTACACTGATATATGAATACACGCAGAAAGATATGCTGTGTAAATACTTTCCTTACAGTAATGTTCCATTTATCTCCATTAGATCAAAGATGTCAAGAACATACCATGTTTTATCCTCACCTGTTTTAAAGCATAAATGGCATGCCTGTTTGAACTCGTGTGTGTCTGACAATGGATGACATGGCAGTTGGGTGGGTAATATGTTTGCTCCTGTCTCCGTTCCTCTCAAAAAGGCACTTTCATTTTGGCCAATGATTCCTAGGTTGGCATTATTACTGAACAGACTATTTAGCTGCAAAGAAATGATAGAAAGCAATTACTGAGTATATTTTTTCAATCGTATAGGGAAAATCTATGAATTTATAGCAGAAAAACATTGCAATACTACAACTGCAAGCATTCTCGCCTCTCAGTCAAAAGGTTGTGGGTTCAAGCTCCATGTCGGGGATTTTGAACTCACAATCTACGCTGGCGCCGAGTCCTTCTCTCCACCCTCGGCGGCCGTGCTTTCAGCCACTATGCCCCGAGGCTCTGGAACTGCCTTCCTCACTCCCTTTCCCTCGCTCCCTCCCTTCCCATTTTCAGGTCTCCGCTGAAGACCTTCTTTTCGACCGCACCTTTGGTCACCTTCCGCCACCTCCCCCTGGTCACTTACTTCATGGCTGTTTGTGGGATACTGTTGTGTGCATATTAGTTTGCTGCGTTCGCCCACAAAACACCCAGTCTTTACAATTTACAATAAATCCTGTGAAGCGCTTTGAATGCTTCTTGATAATAATAATAGTAATAATAATCCTTGCATTTGATATAGCGCTTTTCACATCAGGAGGACGTCCTAAAGCGCTTCACAGAACACACTGTAAAGTGAATTGACTGTATATTTGTGGGCGAACGCAGCAGCCAATTGCGCACAGCAATGTCCCACAAACAGTCGTAGATTGAAAATGACCAATTTAATATTGTTTTTGCTTTTGGAGGGATTATTATTAGGCTCTGTGTGGAGTAAGGAAACTTGCCCAAGGTTTCGCCCTCTGCCTGGAATTGAACTCAGGTCTCTCGCTTGCAAAGCGAGTGCTCTAACCACTGAGCTACAGAACTCCACAAAAGATGCTATGTCAACTCTAAGGATAATTATTATTATAACAACTCAGTTCCCAACCATCTAACAAGGTGCTTCACAGGATTTACTCGTGGATTCCTATAGCTAATAATTAACAAAATATGTGACAAAGATCAGTACACTTGGAAAACCATAAAGAATTCTGTTGCTCAAGGACTTATCAAGAATGTGGTAAGGATACCCTACGATATTATTATTACTGTAAAGTGCAGCAACTGCGTATTTTGTAGGTGAGCCTGGCAGCCGGTTTGTATACAGCAATGTCCCAGAATCAGTGAATGAGCAATATTATCTGGGGGATAATATGACTTGGTTAACATCTCATCCGAAGGATGGCACCTCCGACAATACAGTGCACCCGCACTGGAGTGTCAGCATAGACTATATAGTTGAAAGTCCCGATACAGGGCTTGAACCTACGACCCTGTGACTCAGAGGTGGGATTAACCAACTGAGCCAGGCTAACAGACATGACAATGATATGTCTTCTCTTTGACCGTGCCTTCAGCTCCCCTCTCGACTCTCTTCCTCCTCCTCGCTCCCTCCCTTCCCTCCCCTCACCCTGACCATTTCCCCCCTCCTCTCTCCCTCCCTTCCCTCCCCTCACCCTGACCATTTCCCTCCTGCTCGGGTCATGACCCAACTGTGCAGCGCCTTGGGACGTCCTCCTGACGTGAAAGGCGCTCTATAAATGGAATCTTGTTGTTGTTGTTGTTGTTGGTTACTCACAGTCAGAAAAGAATTGCTGCTATTATGTCCTTGTACTCCAGCCTTGAGACCTGGAGGGGTCCCTTTAAGAAGTGGAGGCAGAGAGGGGGAGAAACAAGAAAAAATCAAATCCGTAAAAATACACAAACTTTAATCATCTTTACAACTTATGCGCTTACTACTAGTTCCAACTATTGTTACTTTAGGCAACATTATAAAGTTACTTTTTCTGTCTAATTTTGCAAATTAACTAACTAACTTATTATTATAAATAACTGAATCCCAAAACAAAACAACAAAGTAAAACAGAACAAAATAAACAGGGACTCTACAACATTATCTTAATACCTGAACAAAACAAATCAGCATATATTTTATTTGAAATATTGGTTTTGAAAAATTCAAGTACTTTTAAAATATTTAATCTTTTATGGTTGTCCTACCAAATTTCAATTCACTAAATTGCTTCAGGACAGGGCCACTGTTTGATGACATTTCCCCACATGGAAACTTCTCAGTTCCACTGGCATTTCATGGGACAACCCTCATACAAGCAAGATGGTCCCAACAGAGAGGGAGAAATATCTGAAGGTGTTTCATACAGACAAGGATTGGCAGAAGCATAAAATCATGAAAACCTTCAAGGTCACGGGACAGAAAATGATTTCTATGAATAGGGATATTAGGAAGATAGGAAAACAGGAACAGGAGCAGGTCATTCAGCTCAATGAGCCTGTTCCGACAACATCATCAAATTACATTTGGATAGCGCCTTTCACGTCGGGAGGATGTCCCAACGGAGAGGGACTCGGGGATGGAATTCCAAAGAGGAGGGGCAGAATGGTTAAAGCTGGTGGGCCAGAGAGGCTGGGGACATGAAGTGGAGGGAAGTCACTGCACCTAATCCTGTACTTTCCAGAAGGTTTGTGAAGCGCTTCAAAACCAATACACTTACCTGAGCTGGGGGTTGGGATCAGGGATTTGGACCTGAGCCAGGGGTTGGGATCAGGTGGGGTAGAGGGCAGGGAGGGTGGGGGTAGGAGGGTGACTGAAGGTGCAGTCGAAGAGGAGGGTCTTTCAAATCGGTTCCAACTAGAGGCTCCGTCTCTCTCTCTTTTAAACTATTCATTCTGCCTCTACAGCTTTCGGGGCAGAATGTTCCACATCTATGTGTGAAGAAGTGCCTCCTGACCCAAATTCTAACCATCATAGCTATGATTCGAAGGCCAGGCAGGCTACCTGAACTGTACTGAAGCCCACAGCCCCAAAAGAAACGCAGGCTTGTGTTTGCCAAACAGTTATTACCTCTTTGAGATTCTACAATAGGCAGAGAATCTAAGGAATCCATCGTGGAACCATATGTATTGTACGTTGATAGCATATTCATAGAAAATGAGTACACTGAGGGTAAAGTCACTGAAGGAACACAATTATTTGTAGCTTGGGGTGGTGGCACTAACATAGAAGCAGGGCAAGGGATACTGGGCGATACACTGACCGGTATCTTAGGTCCTGTAATGGACCCAGACTGCTGCAAGAGAAACAGAGAAACAATCAGCTTTTTCAAGGTTAGATACATATCTACATAACCATAGAACATATTCTTCTCCAAACTGTAAATGCATATTCACCCACAAATACAGTCACTACAGTCAAGTTTATATTGATATAGCACATTTCACATCAGGACGTTGTCTCATGCACTTCATGTAGTTGACTGGGAGCCCGAGCTTGGGGTGAGGGAAGCTGAGGAAGAAGGAAAGGGATAAAGGCGACTGAAAGCACAGCAAAAAAGGTCCTAAGGCAAGCTTTAAAGGTGGGGAAGGAGTGGGTACAGTAGAGCGAGCGACTCAGGCATGGAATTCCAAAGAGCAGAGGCAGAACGATTAAAGTTCACCCAACGATGGTGGGGCAGAGGGATTGGGGACACGAAGCAGAGGGAAGTCACTGCACCTAATCCTGTTTTTTATAGAAGCTTTGTGAAGCGCTTCAAAACAAATACACTTTACAGTAAATCCTGTGAAGCTCTTTGTGATGTTTTCCAGATGTGAAAGACGCTGTACCAAATGCAACGGTTATTATTTATTATCATTCTTACAGGCTGAATCAAATGCAAAAGTTTATTATTAGCTTGAATCATATTATTGCTTCTTTGGAATAGATTTTATAACAACTTGCCTTCCAAGCTGGATAATGTTTCAAAGTGCTTCACAGAGACGAACCGGATCAAATCATCCTTGCATTTGATTATTGAGCAAGGTCAGGAAGGGGAGTGGCATGAAGATAAAGAATAGCTTGCATTTATACAGCGCCCTTCACGCAGGTTAGCGTCTCAGAGCGCTACACAGTGGTAAGGATGAACGTTGAAGGTGGAGCGATAGGTGACCAACTGCTCAGTCAAAGAGGTAGATCAAAAATGTTGACCAAAATGCTACTCACAACAATAAAATTACATTTGTATAGCGTCTTTTGCCAATGGTGGGACGGACGAGGCGAGGATGTGAAGCAGGCCGGAGCCTGCGGAGCGGAGGGAGCAGCCACGTTGATGGGGAGTTAGGAGGTCGCAGAGGTTGGGGGAGCCCGGTGCGGGAGAGGACATGAGCTGCAGAGATCTGGATGATCAGCAGCCTATGGAGGGAGGAGTTGGGGAGGCTGACGAGCAGGGAGTTTGCATAGTCGAGCCTGGATGTTATGAATGTGTGTATGAGGGTCTCGGTGGCCTGCGGTGTGAGACAGTGGCAGAGCCGGGCGATGTTGCTGAGGTGGGGGAAGGCAGAGCGGGTCACGGCGCAGATGTGGTGTATGAAGGACAGTTGAGGGTCAAACAGGACGCCGACATTCCATATTGGCTCTGTGAGATGTAGAGTGCATCCATGGAGGGAGATGCTGTCAGCGCCTGAGGAATGGAGGCACTGTCGGGAGCCGAGCAGGAGGGTCTCAGTCTTGTTGACATTCAACCATAGGAAGTTAGCTCTCATCCAGCCTCAGGCAGGTGTTTAAAGACAGTGAGAAAGGGTGCCAGGCGATTGCAAGGTCTCTCTTTCCCTCTCTCTGAGTCACCGAATCCCCCAAAAATCTGATCACTTGCACTTAAAAGGTGGCTGGATTGCAAAACATTTTTTTTTAGAAATTGGATGCAAGAATCTTGCAATGTATTTAAAACACAGTGGGACTTCCTCGGGAAATACCCTGCTCTAACCACAATATGCTCAGTGGTTTCTAAACTGACTAACATTTTTGTGAGCTAAACGCAAGTTGGAGGATCTGAAAAACAGCCACGTAGAGGTCACACGTAACAGGCTGTTTTTGGTTAAGTAAAAATAATAATCCTTGCATTTGACATAGCGCTTTATCACATCGTCGAGACATCTCAAAGCGCTTCACATGATTTACTGCAGTGTAATTTTGCATATTTGGTATCAAAATAAAAAAAGTCTGCTTTACACCCAAACTCAATGTTTGCTTATTCAAACTGAATGTTTTGTAATTTGCCAAACCTCAACCTTGTTATTAACTTTTTAAAAAAAAAATAAGAACAGCAGATCGATTGATCAATCATGCAGTCACTCGGGAAGCTCTGAATTCTGTCTTACCATTGGAGCTTCTTCCACAGTAGGTAAAGAATCTAGCAGCTCATCCAAATCATCTCCAATCTTATCGCAGTCAATAAAGTCCAAACGTGATTGAGGCACTGAAAAAGACAGCCCTCCTCCATTTACTAGCACAGTGGTGGGAAGAGGGATATTATGCGGCAGTTGTACAGTAGGTGGAGGAGAATTGGAGGAGACTGGGAACGATTCACACATTGCTTGAGGAATAATACCATTTGAGGACAATGATGTAGAAAAAGAAGATTCTGAATTTAATCCTGGGAAATCTACAAAAAAGAGACAGTAATATTAAAGCCAATTTTTACCTACAAGAAAACAAGTTGACACTAACCATGACTTATATCTTAAGACATTTCCATTTTGTTTGTTTTGCCAAAAGGCAATCTCAAAAAGTACATTACCAAAGACCATTTCGTAATTCTCGTTATTCTGTGTATAAAATAAATAATCCTCGCATTTTGATGCAGCGCCCTGTCACATTGTCAAGACATCTCAAAGCTTCACAGGCTGGGATGATTTCAAGAAGTTTTTAACCTTGTGAATGCTAAAATCATTACAGTAGAAGATTATTGTTGGCTTGAGTTGAACTCTCTTTAATAAAAATGATCCTCAATATGTAAGATAATAACATGCTTCCAATTCACTGAAGACCCAGATGTTCTCCAAGTAATAGAATTATTGACCAGAATCAGGAAAAGAATATCTGCAAATTCCAATTACTTATTAATCAACTTTCTGTGGAGTATCTTTTAAAATACAAACTCTAAGTTTTACGAACAACGAACATTTACAAGGACTCGTCAACAGGTATTAAGTTAGGGCACTATTTAATGGATCTTGCTATCTAATTCTATGTAATTTTAAGTTATATCTGGTTATGATCTCAAACATATGTGGGACAATAGTTCAACAGATTCAGTAGCAAGAATGAAAGAGAGGAAGAGAAAATGAAAGGCAGCTTACCCGTTTCTATATCTTCAATAGAATTCAAACCATTGGAATGCTATAGTGGGGGTGGGGGAGAAAAAGGAGTTAAATTTAAACATATATTTATAATGGTTACTGAGTCCATTAAATTATTTTATCTTATAGCAGCTGTTGCAGCAGGAAAGAGTTAATAACAACAAGCCATGCATTTGATATCATCAAAATGTCTCAAGGTTTTTCTGTCAAGTGTAAATTTAACTTAAGTTGAATTTAATAAAATAATGCTACAAGAGTATTGACCAAAAACATTGATAAAAATAATGTCAGCAAAACTTCCTTACTTTATTAGTGGTTTCAGCAGAACTGACACCCATTACTGGATTCAAGGGAGACTGCAAGAGAATTGCAAACACTGAGTGAAAATCCTAACAATACAAAGGGTGAAGCTTCTTAACAATAACAACTGCATTTATCTAAAAATAATCCATGCATTTGATATAGCGCCTTATCACGTCTTTGAGACGTCTCAAAGCACTTCACAGAATATATTGTAAAGTGGACTGACTGTGTATTTTGTGGGTAAAATGCAGGAGCCAATTGTGCACAGCAATGTCCCACAAACAGCCATTTAACATCCTTTATGTAGGGTAGTGTCTCGTTGCTCTATAGAAAGAGAGGAGGGAAGAGGAGAAGGTGGTCTAGGTGCAGTTGAAGAAGTAGGTTTTAAGGGACAACTTGAAGACAGACAAAGAGATGGACAAGATGGAAGGGTAGAGGGAGGGAGTTCCAGAGGTTAGGGGAGTAGAGTCTTAAAGCTCAGGGGAATTGGTGTTTAAAATAACATTTTGAAGTTAAGTGAAACTTGTATATGAGCGCATAATCGGGACTGTACTCACCTGAGCTCTTATATAAGCTTTCCGAATTTTTAATCCCAATATTTGAGCTAATTCCTGGGTTAGTTTCATGACACCGTCATCCTGCAAAATAAAGAGTCGCCTTCAGTAAGAGTTTGCTTTGCCTCTAAATTCATTCATCAATAAAAGAGTCACAAAGCCACATTCATAATATCAGTCATTCTTTGAGTCATTCTTGTTCAGGTACTTTTCTGATGGATGGGGAAAGGGGAAAAACAATCACTGTCTGCCTTTACATAACAGCAGAGAACGTTTTGTTACCTCGTTACCATGAGAGATGAGTGCATGGTGCCCCTCAGATTCTTCTCTCAGGTAGAAAGATCCGTTCCGGGGGGGCGGGCGGGGGGCACTGCCTTAAAATCAGAACCAAGATCATTAGAGCTGAGGTAATGAGGCATTTCTCCACATAGAGGGTTGTGCAGATGTGAAGCGCTCTGCCCCAGAAAGCTGAAGAGATACTTGGTATTAGTGGTATTAAAGTATATGGCGAAAGGATTAAAAGTTCTGGTAAGAACTGGCGGAACAGGCTGAATGGGATGGGCTGAATGGCCTCCCCCTGTTCTCATGTGTACCTAACCAAAGTAGCAAGAATACTAGCAAGATGGATCAGACGCAAAGATTATTTTTGCTACCAAAGTAGCAAGAATAAATCTTTGCACCTGATCCATTGCCTTATCACGTCATCAAGATACAAAGTGCTCACTGAGGTAGAAGTGGCTTCAGGAAGCCAAATGCTGAAACCTCTTAATTCCAGTTGTGAGTAATAATGTTGCCACAATATCAAAGGCTCCTCACTGCAGCATGAGCAGCAGGTGACATGCTTGGCAAGAGAATTTGGAATCAAAAAAATCACTTTCTGTAGAGCTCTCAGCTCCTGTTCTCCCTGCAAGCCGAGGCCCTAGCAGGTAGGGTGGGCTCCAGTTGGACAAGCAGCAGGAAGCTCGGTAGACAGTGGTTTTGATGACACACTATGCGCTTTTAGCTTGTTAAAATCCAACAGTACCCCAACGCACACTTTGGGAAAACTTGTCTTTCTACGGAATTGGTAAGCAGAGTCCCTCCTGGGAGAGAGGCCTCATTCCATGTGCAGGTGGTATACATATGTGGAACTCTCATAACATAACATGTAGGAGCAGGAGTAGGTCATTCGGCCCTTCGAGCCTACCCCGCCATTCAATCATGGCTGATCTTCTCATCTAACTCCAGCTAATAACCTGACCCTGCCTTATCCCCATATCCCTTAATCCCTTTTGCAATAAGAAATCTATCCATCTCAGTCTCATTTGAATACTGTTAAGCATGGTGATGGGTTTCTGCACGTATCAGACCCACATCTGACCTCAAAAAATTTGCATCTTTAAGTTTGGCGATTAAGAGACGCAATTGTCATTTTGCTTACTTGTGGGACACCTAATGAACATTTTGCAATAACATTATAGGCTTCTTTATGCCTTCCTAATTCCTTCAGGGCTCTTGCTTTTCGATAGAGAGCTCGGTAGTTATTGTGGTTCAGCTGTAACGCTTTGTCACAGTCTTCTAATACTTGATTGTAGTGACCCTGAAACCAGAGAACAACACATAGGTAAAAAACCTTTACAGCAAAAAGTCAAGTGTCACAATTAGTCTTTTGGCCTGAGGAGGGGGGCGGGTGGGGCGAAGAAGTGGGGGAGGGAGGGAAGAAAAGGTTTGCCGAAAGCTCTTGCTGAGTAGATTGGTTTCCGATGTGCCCAGTATTTTGTTGCCTCTCCCATTCAAATTGTACTACAAGTAAACTACAGGGGTACAGGGAAAGAGTGGATAAATGGGACTGAAAAGATTGCTCTTTAACAGAACCCAACACAGACGGGGTGGGCCGAATGGCCTTCTTCTGTTCCATAAATTTCTATGGTTCTAGGGCTCAATGCCCAAGCTTCAGGGAAGAAGGGGCAAGAGCAAGAACATTCAGAGGGACTATTGGAAGAGAAGTGAGCTGTGGCTGTGTTAACAATATTCCAAATATTGTTGCCACTGAACGTTTTCCAAAGTGAATATTGAGCTCGCTTGCCCACAAAACACATTGTCACTGCACTTTTATAGTATATCCTGTAAAGCGCTTTGGGATTTCCTGTCACTCTGGCAAGCTTTCTTGCTGTTTGTCCAGCTAGTGGTTAACAAGAGTGAGCGGGAGGATTCCCTGAAAGTGTAAACTAAATCACACTGTTTGTGAGCTTACAATATTCAAGTAGCAGGATGCACGATTTGTATAAAGCTTCTCTTTTACTCCATCCACAATACTGATATCTTCAGATGATGCATAATCAGCTACGTTTAGGGCCTCAGTATATTGGTCCAAAGCATCTTTCCAATTGCCTCCTCTGAACTTATCGTTTCCGTCATCATATAGGTTTCTGACAAGATCTTGCAAAAAGGCCTGTAAATTGAAACCGATAATATTAATACACGTTAATGATCCATTCTCTGGTTCCCTTAAAAGAAGGCATTTACCACAATGTGGAGAAGCAACTTCCTCAAGATCTTACAGTGAAGAGATGAATGGTGCAGTTTCACCATTTTGGTTCGGATGACCCTTCAACTCATTTGATCTTATCCTTCCAAAATTCTCGCCCGACCATCCTCCCATCACAGCATCAAGCTGCTTTTTAAATGAGTCCCAGCATCCTGGCCTCATCCACCCTTCCTGGTAACCTGTTCTGGTTGGTAATTACCCTCCGAGTGAATAAATATTTCCTAATGTCTTCCCTGAAATTGCCCCTTGCAATTCTAAACCCGTGTCCTCCTGTTCTATTGCCTCTGTGCATCCTAAAGTATTGTACTGGGTTTATTTTTTCAATCCTGTTTCCATTTTTTCCCTCTCGCCCTGCCTAACTCTGCCCCCTACTTCCCACCCTATCTCTCTCCCTGTTCCTTTTCAACGAATGGGGGAGAACAACAAACTCTGGATTCTAACCAGTGAACTCCTGGCCTACAGAAACTGCGGCTCTATCACTATTCTATCGGACTGTCCTAGATCACAATTTCGAAATGGTATTGAGGTGCCCGACACACCAAGGTTGCATCAGCTGCTGTGTTCTGGTTTAGTATTCAATTTCCTTCTGATTTGTATGAATATTGTAATGTGAGAATAAAACAAAAATACAGTATGTCAAAGTGATGCCTATTCAGGAAATGGATACCAATTTAGAATACGAGCATTGAGACTGAAACTCAAGCAGTATAAATCACCTGAACTTTTTGATGTTTGCGTAATATTATAACCCTGCCTTAAAGAAGCTAAACACTTTCCGCAATAAACCCCCCTGCTTGACGAAATCCCTTCCTCCCAACCAATATCAAAGGTAAACAAACAATATTATCAGGGCTTGTGTATATAATAATAATAATAATCCTTGCATTTGATATAGCGCTTTTCACGTCAGGAGGACGTCCCAAAGCGCTTCACAGAACACATTGTAAAGTGAATTGACTGTATATTTGTGGGCGAACGCGGCAGCCAATTGCGCACAGCAATGTCCCACAAACAGTCGTAGATTGAAAATGACCAATTTATTATTGTTTTTGGTTTTGAGGGATTATTATTAGGGCTCTGTGTGGAGTAAGGAAACTTGCCCAAGGTTTGGCCCTCTGCCTGGAATTGAACTCAGGTCTCTCACTTGCAAAGCGAGTGCTCTAACCACTGAGCTACAGGACTCCACGATATATTATATATTAAAGGTTTAAAGGGAAGAGTTTTACCTCATACTCTTTCTGGGAACCAGGATATGGCAACGTTGACCTGCAAAAAGAAAAATAGTTTCTTTGCATTAACAAACCTTTGTGATCTCTCGTCTTTCACTCGCATAGTTTTTACCAACTTTTAATCTACACCAGATTCTTACTAAACAGCGTGAAATGCAATGTTATATACAAGCACACTATATGTGCTTGTAACCTGTTGTCACTTTGAATTTTGGGACAAGAAAGGTTGCACTGGCTACCAGCTTATATAACTGTACTTGCACTTTTCACCTTGGGAGGACATCTCAAAGCGCTTCACAGGATTTATTGTAATGTTAGTGATTATATTTGTAAGCAAATGCCCAGTCAATTTTTGCCCACAGCAATGTCCCACAAACAGCCATAGGACAAATATTACCATGGGATCTTTAACATCCACCTGAACAGGCAGACGGGACCTCGGTTTAATGTCTCATTTGAATGATGGCATCTCTGACAATGCAGCATTCCCCCAGCACTACACAGGAGCATCAGCCTACACTATGTGAGTTCAATGTCCTTGACATTTGGCGTCATCCCACAACTTTCTAATGCAGAGGGAAGAGTCCAACAACTGAGTCAGGCTTGTGGACACTGTTAATTACATGATTAATTACAGCCACAGCTGAACTTTAAAACGCTTCCTGAAAATTGAAGCAACAGTGTGGGCATAGATATTGGCTTGCTATCCGATTGGCAAGAATTTTGCAAGACCTGTGTGAGTCATAAACTCCCACTCTCAACACAAAGAGATTTCACTTGACCCTTACCTACTCAGAAAGCAAATTAAGTAGGATCTGAAAATCAAAAGTGAGGGGGGTAGAGAGATCTGACAATAAAAATATTTCAAAAACTATGTTTTGTTTGAACAAACTACACCCACTCAGCTCAAAACACCACTATATAACCTCGTGGGTTAGTCTGGCTCAGGTACATCAATCTACGTCAATTGGTAGCACTTTCACCTCCGAGTCAGAAAGTCGTGGTTCAAGCCCTACAGTGGGATTTGGAACTTATTTTGTCTAAGGCAATTCTCAAATGGATTGCTGGGGTTGAGTTGTATTGTTAGAAGTGTCATCCTTCAGATGAATGTTAAAACTGAGGGCCCTGTTTAGGTAGCACTATTGGAAAACAAGTTTCTCCTAGCGTCCTGGCCAGCAATCCACCAGATAAAATTGCTCACTCACTTAATGGCTGTTTGTGGGACATTGCTGGGTGCGCAATAGCTGCCACGTTTGCCTACAAAATACACAGTCACTATCCTTCACAGTAAATCCTGTGAAGCACTTTTGAGAAGTCCGTCTGACGTGACAGGTAGTTCAAATGCAAGGATTACTGTTATTGAAACACAAACTCCCCTTCACAGTATATCCTGATGCTACATGGATGGTCTAAGAAATGAGACCAGAGACAATGGTACAGTGGGTCCTCTTCTGAATGATGGGACAGGGGCTGACTGTTAGGGAGAGCAGAAGGAGCTTTTGCCCTGCATCCAATGATGCTATGCTTTGATCTGGGAGCACTCGATACAGATAAAATGTGAGAAGTGAAAACTTTTCCATTTCCCAGCAGCAACAATCCTCGCCTTGATAAGCACAACATTCAACATTTATAGCTAAACATTGGTCACTTGCTTCATGGCTGTGTGCAAGTTGTTTGCCTACAAAATGCACTCGATACACTTCACAGTAAATCATGTGAAGCTCTTTGAGAAGTCTCGATGATGTGAAAAGGCATTATATAAAGAGCAAGGATTGTTATTTATTTGCAACATATAGTATATTTAAAACACAGTATATTTAAAAATGCAAACAATTTTCATGGGATAATGTCAAAAGAATTTCTGAGCTTTGCATTCCTTTTCACAACCAAATTCACCAGAATTAATCAGGCATTTCCATTTTACACTTCGCAGTAGAAAACCAGACAATTGCCGTTTATGCTCCAATTAAGACCACTGTGACATTATGGCAAGCTTGCGATATCGAGAAATTAAATTACAACTACACCAACAGGCTGCCAAGACACATTTTGGCCAAGTGGAAAAGATTTTAATGTAACCTAGTAATGCAAGCAAACACAATGTCATAGCAGAAGAGATTTGTTGTTGAGGAATTCAACGTTCTGCCTGATTCATACTGGGGAATTTGGCTGCAAAAATTCCAAATTCCTTTAATGGCATTTGTGTGCGTCACCCTGGCAAGCCTCATGTTGGGATTTGGAACTTGCCTACAAATACACTACAAATACAAGTCACTATAATTCACAGAAAATCTGGTGAGGTGTTTTGAGACATCTTGACATGGATTATTAATATTATTATTCTCCAAGGATCTCATTTTATTGACTTTATGCTCTTTAGCTCTCAGATTCAAAAAAATAATCTTTTAAATATATCTTTGTGGCATTGCACAGCATTGCTGGCAGGTGAGTGAACCTTAATTATATATTTGTAGGTTGCCTCACCCACCATACTAAACCTAATCAACAGATTTTACCTTTACAAAACCACTGGAATTAAAGGGTGGCTTTCATTATCATTTTGATAAATGTTTGGGACCTGTTCACATAGGCCCCAAACAGTTATAATACTGATAAGTATATTTCTTTTATAATTTTTCAGCATCTGTAAACATTAAGATGAAGTATGCCTTGGAAATCCAGACACTTTGTTCTATCATCAAAATATATCTACTGGTTATCAACAGTATAGACAGTTAGCTTTTGGTTGACCCGTTTATCACTGCAAGTTTATTGTTGAACATTTAAAATCAAAGTATTAAATTAACAGTCCTGTCAAATAAGGTAAGGATACAAGACTCAAAAACAGTGCATTCAAAACCACAATGGACAAAAGAGAAGAAAAACATTTAAAAACAAAAGGAAAGACTCAAATTGTTTTCTTTTGCTATAATAAAATGTAATAACCTAATAATAATTCTCTAATAATTTAAATTAATTGTTCTCTTTAAACTAAGAACTAGGTTCTCAGCTATTCACCAATTCAGCAAGCGAAGTAATAATTATAATAATAATCCGTGCATTTGAGAAAGCGTCTTATCATGTCATTGAGACATCTCAAAGAGCTTCACAGAATATACTGTAAGTGAATTGACTGTACTTTGTGCACGAAACATAAAATTCCTATGGAAAACAAAATAGCAGCAGCACCTCTACTTTACAGGTAAAAACCATGTCAAAGTGACCCGATCACTTTGTTGTCTTTTGGAGCCAGTTTACAGCCAGAGCCCAATTTTTCTAAAACAGACGATAGGGCCCAGGAGACACAGTAAATAAGGTAAGAAAAGTGTCTTTAAGGGGGAGATGGAGAAAATAGGTAATCGAATAAAGCTCACTGGCTAAAATTCGGTTAAAATTTAAAATAGGGAGGGAGAGCGAGAGAAAGGAGAATAGAGACAGGGAATTGGGAGAAAGGGTAGCTGGCAGGGAGAGATTGTTATTTTAAAACTGTATTTAAAAATGGAAGTGTTTACAGTCATTTGAGTAATAAATTTACTCCTGAAATGATATTACTGTATCGTTTGTTTCAGGTTCACACATGGTGTAAGGCAAAACCTGTCGGCCCAGCCAGCCGGGAATTTCCCCGGACGTGCCTGTGGCCTCAGTTTAACAAGTGGATTATGATTCTGTCAACTGATGGAATATCATTTTTTAAAATATCAGCCTAATTGCAATCAGTGTACATCCTGAAGCTTTTACATGTTAGAGATTATTTACATGTGTATTAGAGTACATCCTATGACATGACAATGAAAAACGCAAAACTGATTTGATAACACAATAAACAGACAATACATCTGGAATGTGACAGGTCAACAAAACGGTGATGCATAATGCTGTAAGTATGCAGAAGACAATGGTAAATGTAGACTGTTGTGCTGTAGGTGATAACTTATGGCAATAATATCCATACAGTGAATCTATCTATCGTTCCATCAATCAATCCACATAATGAACAGAGGCAGGACTGAGGATAAAGTAGTGGCTGTGGATTTTTTGGACAGGTATCACAGTCTTGTGTTCATTGGTATGAAACATCACACAGGGGAGTGAAAGCAGACGCCACAGACCATCTACACATTAAAACTAGGTTGGCAAATGCCAAAGCGGCAGGATACACGTTCACACCCTTGATTCCAATCAAAGACTGAATTATCAATTTCAGTCAAACATGACGTAAGCAGATAGTTTTCCACACTGAGGGAGGAGGCAAGAGTGAGTTACCCTCGTTTCAATGGCAAGCTCCAAAGTGGCATCGTCAGTGAACATCAGCTCAGTGATTTGCTTCTACAGGAGAAAAATTTTGATTTCTTGCCGTTCTGAAGAGGATGACAAAAGGTTTCAGAAAAAACTTACTGGATAAACTGCAGTCCTTTCTCGATTTCCTGCCACCTGTTATTCTTGTCCATGGATACACTGGACATGTTGTCCCTTCACACCCGATTCCTCTGTCGATAGCAATTCTGAAAGTCAAAGAGACACAGAGTCATCACAATAAGACAACTACAATTTACATTTCCCCTGGGCTAGGGATGGGGGAGGATGGTGTGAAAAGTAACTAAAAGCGTGCTTGAAAATTAATGGTCTTAATGTGGATTCCAGCAATTTGTTTTAAACAAGTCCGAGAAAGTCCATTGCGTAGCTAACAATGTCTCATCAACGACGACGTTGAATCTTGTGTTCTGTAAACATGCTCCACTGTTCGCAGCTTCAGTTTTTCTGAAGAAGACCAGTCCATGAGCCTCCGTGATTTTTCTTTGGTCAACTAAAGCAATCCAGAATTCTGGGATTGCTTACAAAAGACTCTAAGACAGAGTTCGTGAAAGCGAGAGCAGAACAGCTGAAAGCTCGGCCACCATTAGTGGGGTGGATCAGGTGGAGGGCGTGAAAACAAAAAAAACACTCAGATGTATCCAACTTTGCGGCACTGTAAAGTGCCATGTTTATCCCTTATTACTCCACAGAGGAATGAAGAGTGTGGTTTTAAATACCGCAAATGTCAGGCCACATCTTTAGACACTGGTTACAGACGATCATAACATCACAATGCTTAATCAGTAAAGCTTGTCAAACCTAAAACGTGTTTGTAAGCTTGCAACAGACCCATGTAATTAAATTCCATTTAACGGTGCCACCAAGTTATATAAACTAGCCTTTCCTCCAAACAGTGTACAACACCCTTCTGCAACTCAACTTGTGTGTTGTTTTAAAGAAAACACCACACCTCAGAGACTCACTACATAAACTGGCTTTTTCTACAAGCAACTGAGCAAACAAAATATGCAAGCGTCGAAATGGTTTTGTCAAAGCTATTAAAACAAACAGTACTAATATGCATTTGTGTTTCCAATCCGTGCGCTCAATGAAAATCAGTCCAGTAAACAGTGATGGTCACGTAGAGTTAATCAATGAACTAAAAGAAATCCGACAAGCGTGGAAAGTATTTAAAAATAAGTTTCATAGGCACAGGGAGATAAGTAGATATTTTGCTAAAATACCCTCTGAATGGAAATCAGAGTTATAATAATAATCCTTGCATTTGATATAGCACCTAATCACATCATTGAGACACCTCAAAGCACTTCACGGAATATACAATAAAGTGAATTGACTACATATTTTGTGGGTGAAACGGGCAGCCAATTACACACAGCGGTCTGTGTCCCACAAACAGTCGTGGATTGAGTGACTAAATGTTTTTTGAAGGGTCCGCCATCGACTAACAACCGGGTTCCAACTTACTACTGTAAGGAAACCTGCCTAAGGTTTTGCCCAGCCCGGGAATCAAACACAGGTCCTCTCACTTGTGAGGTGAGTGCTCTAACCAATACAGTTTCCAGAGCTGAAAATTAAGAGGCTTCAAATATATTTTAGATATTCATCAAAGCTATTTGTGGAGTCCTGTAGCTCAGTGGTTAGAGCACTCGCTTTGCAAGTGAGAGA